TGCACAGTGATTTCTCAATGAAACGGGTCTAAGCCTCTGGCGCACTAAGCTTTACGAGGGCCGTGTGACTGTGAATTCCCACTTGGGAGGCTCAATTCTCGAGCTTCCCTTTCCCGATCCCTTTCCCGATCCCAGAGCCCCTACTCACGAGCACCGTCTCGCCACGCTGGCAAACCGGAACCCCCAGTGATTTATTTTTGAAGGATCCCTGGTGATGCTGTCATTACAGCACTCAACTGCTAACCAAGAGATCGGTGGTTTGAACCCACCAGCTGCTCTGTGGAAGAAAGTACCAGTGTGCGTCATAAAGATTTATAACCTTGAAACCCCAGGGGCATTTCTACCTTATCCTTTACAGTCTCTTTCAGTCTGCGTTGCATTTTGAGTTTTGTTTCTAGATTCATCTTGAATTTATTTTTCAGTGTTTTACCTAGGGATGCGGAAGACAGGGCTCTTGTCTTCCTGCAGACATGGGACCTAGTTCCCTCTGGAGGCCCTCCCTGCTCTCAGGAACCTAATCAGCAGTGGCACCAGCTCCACTCAGCTGGCCCATCCATCAGCCACAGCCCTGGGATTCCTGTCCCAGTCTTTAGGAGAAAAATGAGACATCCGAGACCATAGACATTCAAGTGGTTTTGGTTAAGATGAAAAACAGGTGTATGTCGGGCTCTGTTATTTTCAACCATCAGTACGTATGATTTTAGAATGAATACTTTTAAACTATTTCACTTCTAAAACTACTACTTGAACTAGATCAGTTTTTAAGAAGCAAGCCGTCTGGTGGGTCTTTTCTTCCTCTTGAAAATCTGGGAAAGGAATAAATTCCTGATTTTTCAGTTCCCTAATGACTAGTCTTGGACTCCGGGTGTGGCGCTGTAGGATCAGCATGGGACTGCAAACCAGAAAGTCAGCAGTTCAAACCCACCAGCTGCTCCTCGGGAGCCCTAGACAGGGTCCCTGTGAGTCCAAGTTGACTCAACAGAACTTAACAACAACAATGACTAGTCTCAAGGAAGACAGTCTTTCCAGTTTTATTTTTATGTGTACAAGACTTTTTTCTGATTATCAGTTGTTGTTTAGTGTTGTTGAATCTGTGCTGACTCATAGCAACCCTGTATGGAGTTTCCGAGGCTGCACATCTCTGTGGGCCGAGAGGCCTTCATCGTTCTCTCACAGAGCGGCTGGTGACCTCGTGGTTCGTAATCTAGTGATTATCCTACAGAGCCAACACGTTCCCTCTGACTGTAAGCAATAGGAGTTAATTGTCGATAATTTTAAAATATAAAGGAATAGTTTTTAAAAGATTAATAATTTCACTACTCCGAGCTATTAGCTCTAAAATATACTTCCCTCGGGTCTTTATTTTTTTATGTGTGTAGTTGGGATCATTCCACAGTTACAGTTTTCTTTCCTTTTTTCCCTACGTATATCGGAAACTTCCGTTTTGTTAAAGAGTCTTAAAAGCGTAATTCTTAATGGCAGCCTGGTATTCCAGCTTGAGAATGAATGCACTATCGCTTGTTTGTTTTGTTTTTTTACCCATTTCCCTAATACTAGACATGTGTTGCCAGGGTAGGTGCAGTGGTGACGTAGTCAGCTGTTAACTGAAAAGTTGCCAGTTCTCTGTCCTGTAGAGTTGGGATTTGTACATTTACATATTTAAATTGCTTTCCATTTGCAGTAGCTAATGTTAGTGTTGTTGTTGTTGTTGTTAAGTGCCATCGAGTTGGTTCCGACCTATAGCGTAGTGGTTACTAATTGGGCTGCGAACTGCAAGGTCAACAATTCGAAACTACCAGCTGTTCCATGGGAGAAAGATGAGGCTTTCTGCTCCCATAAAGATTTACAGCCTCGGAAACCCTATGCAGGGTCACTATGAGTTGGAACCGACTCCATGGCACATAGCAACAACAACAACAAATTGTTGTATGGCTCAAAATACTGAGTCATAAACCATGCTGTTGTTATTAAGTGCCGTGGAGTTGGTTTCAACTCACAGTGACCCTGTGTAGGGTTTGCAAGGAGCAGCTGATAGGTTTGAACCACTGACGTTGTGATTAGCAGTCCGGTACTTATCCTATAGCACCACACCAGGGCTCTACATTATAAATCCTCCAAGTAACAGATATCCTTTACATCTGTCTACATCAGATATTTCTACCCTTCCACTCCCAAAACTTCCTTGCTCCACGGACAGAAAAAGCTTCTTTTAAAATGCATTGCCTTGTACAATCTTGATTCTCAAGTGACTTTTCTATTAATAGAATTTGTCTGAAGAGTTTCAAAGACATTGTGATGTGTTTTTGCCTTTATGGAGGGATAGTCATTCAACACATATTAGTTGAGCACCTACTGTGTGCTAGCCTCTGGGGATACATACAGGGAACCAGACAGCAAGTAAATTCCATGAGTTTAGGAAATGGTGAATGAGCTGAAGAAACCAAAGGGCATAAGATAGGGAGAGGCTTGCAGGTGACCCGAGGGTGGTCAGGAAAGGAGGCCTGTGTTCGGGGACCTACATGATCAGAAGGAAGCACCAAGTTCAAGGCCTTAACTGATGAACTCTGCTAGCAAGACACAAACCATGGTTCCTGAATGTGAGAACCTCGCCAAGAAAATACATGCCGCAGTGCTCTGCCCCACCATATTTTGTTGTTGTTGTTGTTAAGTGCCATCGAGTCGGGTCTGACCCATAGCGACCCTGTACAGGGTTTCCGAGGGTGTAAATGTTTACGGGAGTAGAAAGCCTCATCTTTCTCCCGAGGAGCGGCTGGTAGTTTCGAACCGCTGACCTTAAGGTTCGCAGCCCGATTCGTAACCACTACGCTACCAGAGCTCCTTGCCCCTGACCAGTTGCCTATTTTTCTTTTCAAGACCAAGTCTTACTCAGCTCCTTGTAGATTTTACGAGCTCTTTGTTAGAGCTCTGCTTTCTCAATATTTCATTCGAGGCTCCCAAAATCAGTTTGGGACCAGTCAGCTGTCTCCTGTTCCAATATTGAGAATGTGAGTGGTAACAGTTCTGCTGGCTCTCTGTTATTTTTATTCACAGATTTTAACAGATAGGTGCAGTTCTCGTTTTTTGTTTGTTTGGTTTTTTGCTTATGTATTTATCCCTTTCTTTAGACACCAGAGAGAATAAAAAAGGGAAGGTATTACAAAAGTAAATGCATACTCGTTATGGAAAACAGGAAAAGTTAGAAAACTATAAAATAGTGGCAGGGAAAATTGCCTATGGTCAATCTTGCCAGAAGCAATAACTTTCACAGTGTTGACGTCTTTTATATTACTTCTGTACTTTTATTTTTCCCGAAGCATTTTTAAAAACAGCGCATTGACAGCCATTTTTTTAATGGGACGTATCAGAGGAATTTTCCATGTCACTGAAAATGCTCTCATATTTTAAGTGGCTGTAGACTCGTCCATCATTTAAATATACTGTCATTTATTTGAGTCCCTGGTATTGGATATTTACATTTGTGACAGTTGTTTGCTTTGTAGATTACACTGTAGTGAACATCTTTGTGCATGAGTCAATTGCCCTATGTAGTTTACTGCAACAAGCCTGGGTATTTCACACACTTGGTTCAGAGGACATACATCCTTAAAGTTCGCCAGTTCTCAATTAAATGCCTCCACATTCTACTATGAAAACATGGCCCAGTCTCTTAATATTTTTCATTTATTCTCAGAGCACAGTTAGCTGGCTGACCCTCACCAGTCTTCCTAGTCCCTACCCACCGTGCTGGGGACAGTCTTTCTTTGTCAACTTCCCTGTCAGGGCAGCGATACCCCCCAAGACTGGTCGAAAACTATGGGTCCTTTTAATGGCAAGGCTTGCGCTTCATCCTTCTCTTGGTCCTGGGTGTCCAGCACATACGGAGCAGGATCCTTTTCTTCTCCTCCTGCAGCTCCCTGCCCTGGAGGACAGACTCAGCACCCTGCTGGCCCCGGTCATCATTTCCACTACCACCATGCTGGAGAAGCTCACAGACACCTATACCTGCTTCTCAACGGAAAATGGCAACCACCTGTATGTCCTCCACCTGGTGAGCCCCCTGGGGAGGTCCTTTGGACGGCAGGAATCGCATCTCCTCAGAATCCACTGGGGCCCCAACTCTCTGTATTGTCCCCAGGGGTCAGGGTAGGTGAAGGGAGGCCTCTGGGGTTGGCTGCCATTGACCCGGCTGTGCCTACAGTTTGGAGACTGCCTGTTCATTGCCATCAATGGAGACCACACAGAGAGCGAAGCGGACTTGCGGCGGAAGCTGTGCGTGTTCAAGTACTTGCTTGAGCTGCACTTTGGGCTGGTTACTGTGGACGGCCAGCTTATCCGAAAAGAGTGAGTTTTCATAACTGGCCGCCTCTGTGCCTTTTGCTGAGTGCCCAGGCAGCACGGCATCAGCCTGGGTAAGGCGGCTGTCCCACCCTCTGCCTAGCCTTGTCCCTGGTTCACAGAAGCAGCGCTTAAGGAGCCTTGGAGATTGTTTGGCCCAACCCTGTCATTTTACAGATGGGAACACTGAGGGCAGAGAATTCAAATGACTTGCCCAGGGCCATCAACTGGTTGGTGGCTACACCCAGCTTAGAAATCAGAGCTGGGGAACCCGAGTCCAGTACTCCGAGTCCCCCTCAGTCATCTGTCATCACAGATCCTGCTGAGCTAGTCCCCTCCAGCTTCTCAAAGATGCTTTAGACTTCCCTTCCAGAAATTCACCTGTCCACGCACACGACACATGACCTGTGACCACCTTCGGAGGGGTCAGACCCCTCGTAGCCATCTCTGGGCTTGCAGTGAAGAGCCCAGTGAAGGACAATGATGTTCAGAACATCCACCCTGTTGGAATGTGGACTCAGAAGAAAGACTTGTGGGGGTACCGTCACTTTGAGTCTCAGGTTGAATTGGGAAGTTATAGCATCGAAAGTTCTGGGCCTCTTGAGATGGAGAGATGTGAGCAAACGTCCATATCCAACTGGCAAACAGCCTTTCAGGACCCCTTCCCAGTAGGCGATACCTTCAGTACAAGCTCTGGCTGCCCCCTGGGCATGACCCTGAGAAACAGACCAGGGGAGGAGTGAGAGGTGCAGAGCCAGCCCCGCCTCCTGTCCTAAGTCTGGGCATGGAGACTGAGAAGTTAGTGGCTCGCAGACCCCTGGTTCTGTGCTCCTTTGCCTTCACTCCACGGCATCTTTGGTGACTCGTAGGCTCCCCTGGGCTTTCTCGGCTCTGTAGGTAACATGGGATTAGGAGTACGTGGGCTGCGGCTGAGAGGGACCAGCATTCTCATGGGCTTTCCTGTTCTCTTGGGCTCTGCCCCCAGACTGCGTCCCCCAGACCTGGAGCGGCGTCGCCAGGTGTGGAAGCGTTTCCAGAGTTTGCTGTCAACTGCCAGCCGACTTTGGGAACAGGAGCAATGCTTTGCTGTGGAGGTGACAACCGGGAGTGGGAGCCCTTAGGCTATGTGAGTGTCAGGTCACAGGGGCATCCGGCTTTAAGACCGTATTTTGGGCCCTAATGAGTAAGGACACAGACTGACCCTAAAATTCCTATCTTCCAAGAGAATTGCTCTTTCTGGCCACGTGGTACTTGGAATACTCTGACAGGCTCTTCCCCAAGGAGGCCTCTAGGTCCTGGATAAAAACCTTCTCAGTGCACACTTTTGGGGTTGTCAATAACAAATCTCAGAAGACGGCTCCCTCAGTAGTCCTCCCTCCGCTTACAGAAAATCAAATGCGTAGGTGCCATATTAGATTTCTCTTCAAAATCCATGTGGCAGCGATGATGAAGTAGTCACGTCTCTCTCGGGTTATCAGGAAATGCTTCCAGTAGGAGGTGACCTAACGCAGTTAAGATCCAAACCCCTTCCTATGCCTCCCAGGCCCTGTGTGATCTGGCTTCTGCCTGTCTGATTCCAGCAGCATCTCTTGCCTGTCTTCCCCTCACTCACTATGCACCGGTCACGTGGGACTTCTTTTCGTTTTATCAATTTCATAACATATGTCCACTGTGTTAGCCCCTTAGCCACTAGTTAACATGTGACTGGTGAATTTCAAGCCACAGTTTATACATAGCCTGTCTAAATTGAGTTGTGCTCTTCAGTATAAAATACATACTAGGTTTTTATGACTACAAAAAAAATATCAAAAGTATCTCAATGTTTGTTGAAATGATAATATTTTCAGTATATTTGGTAAAGTGAAAAAGACACGAGTAAAAGTAGTGTCACCTGTTTCTTTTGATTTGGCTAATGCGCTAGAAACCTGTAAGTTATGTCTAGGACTTGCCTTACTTTTCAGTTGGACCACACTGCCTTCCTTTGCATATACAGCTCTCTCCCTCTCCTGCTTTCTCATTCTCTATATAGCACTTTAAAAGGTCACCTCCTCAGGGACACCTCTTAGACCATCTGACCTGACGTCAGTTTCTGTCATTTTTCTCTAGTTGAGTTTTTTCCTACAGTTCTGTCGATTCAACAGAACTGCTCCTCAGGGTTTCAAAAGCTATAAATCTTTACTGGAGCAGGCAGTTTCATCTTTCTCCTGCGGAGCGGCTGGTAGGCTTGAACTGCTTACCTGGAGGGTAGCAGACCAGTGCTTAACCCATGGCACCACCAGGGCACTTATTGTGTCCATCTCCTTGTCTGCCTGTCTGTGTTCTCCACTTGAGTTAGCTGTGACAAGAATGTAAGCCTGACGAAGGCAGGGCCCCTATGGTCTTAGTCTCTCTGTGTGAGCTCAGTCTGGACGGAATGGCCGATTGGTGCAGGGCCTAGAGCAGGGAGAGGGTGGTCAGTGACATGGCTTTCTGTCCTGCATGCCGACGGCCAGGCTGTGGAGCGGCTGATCCACCCCCAGCTCTGTGCGCTGTGCATAGAGGCGCTGGAGCGGCATGTCATCCAGGCTGCCAACAGGAGCCCCAGGCGGGCCGGCGAGGAGGCCCTGCATGCCTTTCTGCTAGTACACTCCAAGCTGCTGGCCTTCTACTCCAGGTGAGCTGTGTCCCCTTCCTGGTCTCTCACTCCTCCCTTCTTGTCCCCTCTACCCAAAAACACCAGCACCCCCACCAAGCGCCTCAGGACCTGTCTCCCCCAGATCCTTCACCTTCATTCACCCTCTTGACTCTCCCTGAAGCTTCCTCTCTTGCAATTACTGGTCCTCGCTTGTTTCCTGTTGATAAGTTTTTTCAACACAAGTTTTATTTTCAAAATTGATGGATTAAATTGTATTAATACCTTGCCTTTCTCCAAAAAGGATTATGTTCTCTGACCTATTTGTAAACTCCTTGAGGGTGGGGGTCCTGGCTTTCGCCTCCTCAGGTCACCCGGTTTGCTGACTCGCTGCTCCTCTGTGTACAGCCACACTGCCAGCTCGCTGCGCCCCACAGACCTCCTGGCCCTCATCCTGCTGGTCCAAGATCTCTACCCCAGCGAGAGCACGGCCGAGGCTGAGGACGCACAGGTCTTGGGCGGCTCCTGGGCCTGTGGTGGGGCACAGCCTCACCCTCTGCTTTCAGATGTGAAGGGGATTCAGGCATGCTTGTAATGTAGGGGGCTTAAAGGGCAGATCGGGGAGTCAGGCAGTGCCGCTCTGAGCCTCAGTTCCCATATCTGTACAGTGGGAAAAATTCGGCATTTCCCTCTCAGGGTTCTCATGAGGAATAAAGGGGGTGACTCACTTAGAGCCCAGCATTGCTGGGGTCAGGTGTGTGGGGTGGGGAAGATGTAGGAACACTCAGTGTGAGCCATCACCATGGCCCTGGGCATCTTTGTCAGCTGGGCTTTCTGGAATCAGGATTCTGGAGAAAGAATTAGCTTTGTAGTGTAAAGACCCCGAAAGGGTGAGGCTCACACAAAGGCTGCGCAGTGAAGCAGGGCAGAGGTGAGGAATGAGGAGCCCCTGCCCAGCTCAGCTCTGAGGTGTCTCTGTGCAGTGATGTGGACAGGCCAGGTCACATGGCTCTAGCACGCTCCTCCCCCGCCCCCCACAGGCTTCCCCACTGAGGCTCCACCACAGCCCGAGCATCCCCGTGGAGCAGCCATCGAGCCCTGGAGCCCCACATGCACTCCGGAGTTCTGCAGAGACGGTGTGTGCTGTGTACAGCTGGACAGGAGGACAGGGGTCCACCTCACGCGTGTGACAGGGTCCTGGGTGGAGCCAGCCGTATGATCCACTCCAAATCCTTGACCTGAGCTTCTCTCTTCTCCCACAGGAGACAGACAGCATCTCCCTCCCCGAGGAGTACTTCACACCAGCTCCTTCTCCTGGCGAGCAGAGCTCAGGTGAGGTCAGATGCCAGTCAGCAGCCCCTGGGATATCTGTCTTGGGGTTCACTGGACCTTATTATGCCCTGGGCACAAGTATGCAAATTCTCCCGGTGCACAGGATGCGGACTCCAGCTTCTGCTCTCTCTTCCCTACTTCATTGTTGCTGTAAGTTTAGCCATTGAGTCAGTTCGTACTCATAGTGACCTGGTATAGTGTTTCTGGGGAGCGGCTGGTAGACTTGAACCACTGACCTTTCAGTTAGCAGTCCAGCACTCATCCCACAGTGCCATACCAGGACTCCATCTTCCCTGCTAGCACCAGCTTAAATGCAAGGACTGTTAAGACCTCTTGGGTGCTTCCTAAGGCTTTTAATGAGAAATTGATTTCATTTTAAAATTCACCCATCACGTGTTTTCCCTGCCTCATCTTCCTTTTTTTGGCAATTAATAGGTAAAATTAAGTAATAATCATTTTATTTAAAGTCTAGACTATATTTAAAAAATAATTAAAAAAAAAAAAAAGAATATACAGTCTCTAGTTTATACCTTGAGAGCCCTGGTGGGTCTGTAGTTAAACCTCCACTTGGCACGAAAGGTTGGCTGGTCAACCTCATCTGCCATTCTGCAGGAGAGAAAGGTGGCAGCCTGATCCATAAAGATCAGCAGTCTTGGAAACCCTGTGGGGCAGTTCTGACTGTGTTCTGATTTAACAGCTCTGGGTTATAGTCTGGATTTCCAGAATATATGGGTAAACACTAAAAGGAAATTTAAAATTTATACACACGTTATTAACAACAAGTAGCCGTCACTTAGGAAATCGATAAACACCACTGTGTTGTTGTTAAATGCTGTTGAGTTGGTTCCAACGCATAACAACCCTGTATAGGGTTTCCAAAGAGCAGCTGGTGAGTTTGAACTGCTGACCTTGTGGCTCAGACAGACCTTGTGGTCCAGTGCTTATCCCATAGCCTGAATGAACAGGCTGGGAGAAAGGACAGATTATATGCATCATCTAGCAGAGGAAGGTGACCAGGGTTTGAGGAGTAGGACATCTTGGGGGCTGAGTTTTGAAAGGATATACTGTGTGGCTCCCTTAAACCAGTGGTTTCAACCCTGTGCATTGGAATCACCCAGAGAGATTCAGGCAGTCCAGATCAGTTGTAGTTGCAGGACCTGGGACCCAGGTATGAATACTCTTGAAATTCCACCTGGCAAGTCCACTATGTAGCCAGTTGTGACCTGCCTGTGTGCCAACTTGGGCTACCGCTGCAGTTCAGCTAACCCAGCAAGCATTAGAAATACAGGCAACCCCCGGGTAATGAACAAGATCAGTTCCCAGCTGTGTCTCTAAGTCGACTTTGTAGGTCAGTCAGAACAGGTGCCTATGGTTTTTATTTAGCCTGACTTTAGCACAGGAAAAGGAGCCCTGGTGGTGCTGTAGGATAAGCACTGGACTGCTAACCACAAGGTCGGCAGTTCAAACCCACCAAGTGCTCCTCTGGAGAAAGATGAGGCTTTCCACTCCCGTAAAGATTTACAACCTGGAAAGATTTGTTGGCTATGGACCGGAGTTGATGGCAGTGAGTTTGGTGTTTTGGTTTTAGTGCAAGAAAAGACTCCGCCTTTTGAGTAGTTTCATAGTGGCACGTGCAACAAGTGAATGTGATTGTGTTGAAGAATTTGTTGAGAGTAGGGGTTAGTTCAGTTGTTTCAAAGTGAAGGCCAATTTACATAACATTAAAGGCCAAGTACAGTTGTCCATAAGTCAGACGCTCTTAACCCAGGGACTTAATGTACCAAAGCTGGGCCTGTGTCCAGAGGTTCTCACTGGACTGCTGTGGAGTATAGTCTGGACATTAAGCGTTTTAAAGGTCCCCAAATAGTCCTGGGATAATGCGCTGGACTGCAAGTTCGGTTTGAACCTCAGGGTCCGCAGTTCAAACTCCTCGGAAACCCTTTAAAGGGTCCCTATGAATGAGAACCAACTCGACAGCACTTAATAACAACAGCAAAAATGGTTCTCATGTGCAGCCAAAGGTGGAAAACCGCTGGGCTAGATGCTCTTAACTTGCAGTCCATGGATGGGCTTCAGGGAGCCTGAGATGCCCTGCCAACTCATACATCCTTGCCTATCTCTTTCCCCAGTTCTGCAGTTTCTTCCTCCTGCCGCTTCCTGTCCTCATTCATCACTCTCATCCCCACCCCGCCCCGAGGTTGGCCTCCTCTGCCTCTAAGCTGTAAATAATGTCATCGCAGAGTGCTGAAATTCACAACTTAGAAATGGTATGAGCTGCATGTTTCCCCAGAGAACCATAGTTTTCAGCGATGGTTATTTACAATAAAATATAAGAGAACAATATTATTACAAGCCTGTAATAGTTCACATATATAGTGGGTCCAGTAGGTTTTCATGAGCTATGTTGTTGTTAAGTGTTGTCGAGCCGTTCCTACTCACAGCAACCTCGTAAAGGGTTTCCGAGGAGGGTTTGAACTGCCAGCATTGCACTTAGCAGTCCAGTGCTTGATCTGCAGCACCACGCAGGGAAATGAAACTTAATCCTTAGAACATAGTAGGTGCTTAGTAAAGGTCTGCTCGTAGAATGAATCAGTGCAGAAGTGAAGACTCTGCGCGGCCTGTTAGGTGGTCCTCTGTTAACACTCCACTGCGCAGTCCCTGAAGGAAACCTGGAGGCACTGTGGTATGCTTACGTGCTACCTGAAATGTCAGTGGTTTAAACCCACCAGCTGTTCCATGGGAGAAAGATGTGCCAATCTGCTCCCTTAATGATTTTGCAGCCATGGAAACCTGATGGGGCCATCCTGTTCTGTCCTGTACAGCCGCTGTGAGTCGACATCAACTGGAAGGCAGTGGTACAGGATTGAATCCCTGTGTGCACAAATGCTTAATGCACTTAGCTGGTAGCCAACAGGGTGGCAGTTGTCTCCCACTGATATTAGAAGAAAGGGCTGATTTTTTTCAGAAAACCCAGGCATTATATGTTTTTGCATACCATGCAAACTATACTAAATTTTTTCATAAGCAAACTATACTGATGTTTTTTTGTATGTTGATAACTTCAATTTCAGTTTGTTTTTTGTCCATTGAATTTAATGTTAAGCCTTTGACTTGGTGCCTGCTGACATGAAGACTGGCTCCTAGCACAGACCCTCCCGAGCCTACCCTAGAATTTCAGAGCAGTCCCTTGTCCCAGCATGATCCCTTCCCTGCTCTGCATGTCGCCTTCTCCAATGCAGAAAGAAATGACTTTTTCTGTCCCAAAAAAAGCCCTCCCCAGGGTGGCCGGGCCCCAGCCCAGGAGGTGCACAGATGTGTGCACTCTGGGCCAGAAAGGCCACACAGGTGGGTGAGGATGGTGTACCCCAGCCTTGAGCATTTCTCCCCACCATGTGGCTGGCGGCCTTGGAAACCGTATACAGGTCGCTTTGAGTTGGAACTGACTGGAAGGCACTTAGCAACAGCAACAAGTGTGAGCGTGAACGAGACCAAAATTCACTCCTGGAAATGTCCCAACTTGCAGGGTTATGCATGGGCATGCTATGTGGAAGCTTATTTTTTACATCATTTCTTCATTTCCTCCTGTTACGTGGGTGTACGCGTTATTTATGTAGGCACAGTATTTGCCAAAAAGAGAAAACCTGGTGCTTCTGAAAAATCAGCCGTTGAAAGCCTACAGAGCACAAGACTAACACACACACTACCCCACTCTGAGCCAGCATCCCCTACTGGTGTTACAGCCAGGGAGACTTGGAACCGGGAGGACATAGGTATCAAGGCAGGGGTGCTGAGGGAATGGCGGCACCCCCTCCCCCCACCGCCCATTTCCAATTACATTGTCAGGAGCTCGATTCCCAGCCTCTCTTCCCCAGACCCAGCCGCCTCACCCTGACTGTTACCTGGAGGTTTCCCTAGCTCAGTGCAGGGTGGGCAAGGCTGTACCCTGCCTGCTGCATCCTGACTAACTGACAGGGGAAGCCTCATCTCCACCCTCCCCTTTCTGACACCCCAATGTTTGTATTGTCTTTGCTTGTGGTCTGCAGGTAGCACCGTCTGGCTGGAAGAAGGTACCCCACCCACTGATGTCGCCCTGATCCCGGTGAGTGTCCCTGCGGGGAGTGGGCCCTGCCCTGGCTCCTCTGAGAGGCTGCAAACTGAAAGACTAGGCTTCCCCTCCAGGGGGCTCCACCAGGCCAGCTTCCTCCCAAGGGTGGCCTTACCCCTCAACTCCTGATAAATCCTTCCTCACTAGTCTTAAGAGTGTAAGAAAGTCTAGCTTGATTTTTACTGTTTTTGTAAATGAAAAAGTTAATGTCATTTTGTCGTTGGAGAAAAATGAGAAACTATAAAAGTAAAGAAGGGAAAAGATAGTAATAATTCCTCTCAATCCCACCCCCACATGTTAGCCACTGAATATTGTTGGGTGTTGCCGCCAGATAGTTGTTCCTACAATTTTTCTATGTACTCTTTTTTTTCGCCAGATTTGGATCATAATGAAATTCATAATACTTCTCTCTTTAGTCATATTTCCATTTACTAAGTGTTCTTCAACCAGATGGTTTTCAGTGATTGTCCACTAGTCCATCACATGGGCAGGCTACTTTGTTAACAAGTCCCCAGAGTTGAGTAGAACATTGTGTTCAGGCTCTTTATGGCACATAACACATCAGTGACATCCTTATATGGACATTTTGTACCATCTTAATTTTCTTGACCCTCTCGTTTTCCCCACTAAGAAGACTTTCGTACTCAGAGCCCCTCCTAAAGCTGGGGTCTGCTCCGTTAGTCACTTTTGTCTCTGATTCCCAAGTGGACAATGTGAATGGCTCCCAGGATGTTCTGAGAGTGATTGAAACAACAGAACATTCTTCAAATACTTTCATCGCATCTCCTCGGAATCCCTCATTACATCTCCGAAGACCTCGTCTTCCCAGTCCACTAATATCTGTCTGTCCTCCCTGTTCAGTCTCTTCTCTACCACCTGCCCCCAGCTCCTGTACTGTGTACCCCACTTGGCATCCACTCCTGACTCTGAGGCAGAAAGGCCTACAAACAGCTCAGAGCAACTGGAGCAGAGCTGGGGCAGCTTGGGTGTTGCAGTAACATGTGGGGAGTTTTGTAAATTCTGTATTCTGCCGTGGTTCACAGGAGGATAGCAAACGGGCAACCGTGAGTGGGTCAGACTTGGGAAGGAGGCTAGGTGGCTCTGCCATCCCCACCTAGTGCTCCCTAACAGCTGCTCCTTCCTCCTAGGAGGCCAAGGGCACTCAGCAGACACAGAGTCCTCACTCCCCAGCAGCATCCAGCCCTAGAAGGATTTTCCTGGACGCTGCTGTGAAGGAGAGCTACTGCCCCTTGGTGCCCCACACCCTGTACTGCCTGCCCCTGTGGCCGAGCATCAACATGGTACTTCTGACTAAGGTACCAGGGCCTTCGCCATCCCGGGCGACCCCAGGGCCTGATCGCCTGCTCCACTGGCTGGGTTTTGTTTTGTTCATAGAGTCCTGGTGCCCCCCTGGCCCTGGCCCTATACCAGCTCCTAGATGGGTTTTCTCTATTGGAGAAGAAGCTGAAGGAGGGGCAGGAGGCTGGAGGCACCTTGCGGTCCCACCCCCTCATGGCAGACATACGCCAGAGGATGGACAAGTTTGTCAAGAGTCGAGGGGGCCAGGAGATTCAGGTGAGACCCAGAGCCCAGGACGTGCCCATCCGGGAGGAAAAGAGGCCCAGGTGAGGCAGCAGGCCCCTCGGGCCCAGATTTCAGACACCCTTCTTGTCTCCGCTGCTGGCTTCTGACGCTGTCTTCCTTATTATGAAAGGTGAATAACAAAGCCTTATGTTGCTGTTTGTTTTTGTCAAGTCCAGTCTGGCACTAGACGACCCCATATAGCGTAGAGCCGCTCCACAGGGTTTTCTTGGCTGTGATCTGAGACACAGAGCAGCAGGTCAGTGTTCACAGTGAAGCTGGGTGGGTTCTAACCACTAACCTCCAGGTTAGCAACTGAGCTCAAACCATTTGTGACATCTGGATGGCAAAACATTTTCACATGAGCTTGACAGCACACACACTAAATAAACCAGGACTTAGACTAAGATTACTGAGCTAGTGAACCTGAATCCTGTCTCTGGCCCAGTGAACGGGCATGTGGGGTGGACACAGACACACAAGGCGGAGTCGGCCCCCAGCTCAGAGCTGAGGAGATGAGACCAGCAGACAGAGTGGTAGTGAGTGTGTCACGTGAGCGCGTCACATGAGAATGTCACAGCACAGTCCAGATGGAAGCCTAGAACTCAGTCCAGAGAGCAGAAGGCAAAGCCCTTGAGGGTGGGGAGGCAGCATCTGTCCTTGGAGCTGGGGTCTGTCTGAGGACCTCCAAGGTCCTATGACCTCAGTCATGTGATCTGAAATGAAGGCAGGACTGGAGGAGGCCGAGCAAGCAGTGACAGCCATGTAGTTCTTTGAGGAGGCCGGCAGCTCCTTGTCTTGCAGGGCCTCAGGGCATCATTGCTCCTTAGGATTCAGAGTTCTCGCCCTCTGAGGAGACTCAGCTCAGGTTTCCAGTGCCTGGCAGGGATGCCAGCCCCCTGCTTATCCTCCCTGGAGGCATCGCAGCTGCCATTTCAAACAGTGAGCCCCAGAGTCCAGCAAACTCCTGGCTACCCAGGAATTCCTCTTTCAGTCTCAGTGACCAGTGTGCCATCTGCAGCAGAGGGCAGGGTGCCAGTGGGCTGCCGGAGAGGCCAGCTTGTGCCGAATGAAGGCTAACTCATGCTGAGCCTCAACACTATAGCAGCTGGGTGCTTGCTCAGCCCCGCATGGAGGGGGGCGGTCTCCCAGGGCCTCACTGAGGGCATATGATCAGGATGCTGCCCTGCCACCTGTCCTTACAGAGCACCTGGCTGGAGTTTAAGACCAAGGCCTTCTCCAGAAGTGAGCCAGGATCCTCCCGGGAGTAAGTAGCGGGGCCCTGAGGACAAGGGGCTGTTTCCCAGAGGCACCAAGCTCCCCCCACAGGATGGTCCAGGGAGAGAGACCTGTGGGGGCCTGAGGAGCGGGCTGTGTGGGCCTACTTTAGCATGTCCCTTCCTCTATCTGTAAAATGGTGATGTTGGACGTGCAAGGAGACATCATTCCACATGTGTGGAGCTGCACAGTGGGAAGAACGGGAGCCTTCCCGGTGCAGCTCTAACTCAGGGTACAGCAGCAGAGGTGGCCTTGTCCCACAGTGACACACCTGTCCCCTGGACCAGGCTGCTCCAGGTCTGCAGGAAGGTGAAGCGGCAGCTCTGTGCCATCTACCGCCTCAGCTTCCTGAATGCAGCGCCAGGCCAGGGCAGCCCCCACCTGCCCCAGCACCTGCTGGACCAAGCCCAGAAGCTCATGAGGTAAGTGGGGTGGGGCCACCTCACCGCCCAGGCAGGAGTGGGATGTGGCTGATGGTGACCCAGGCTTCCCCTGCTTACCTTGGCAGAGAGAAGCTGGCAGACTGGAAAGACTTCTTACTGGTGAAGAGCCGGCGGAACGTCACCATGGTGTCATATCCTGCTGCTCTGGCCCCAGACCCACCCAGAGAGGCTTCTGTGGCGGGGGTCCTTTCTGCCTGCTCTCTCTGAAGCAGGTCCCCCCCACCCCCAGCTTTTCTCAGGAGAAAATTAATAGAAGGTAGTCTCCTGGGATCCTTGTCTGTAGGGACACTTGAAGGCTGCTATACCAGAAACCATACCTACAAGCCTTGGAGCTGCTTGTCAGCGTTTCCCAGCCAGCAGTTTGCTTAGGTAGTGCTGGTAAACTTCCTGTGGCCTGGGGGTTTGAGACCAGCTCCTCTCCCCTCCCCAGAGCAGCACTGCACAGCTGAGGTTCTGTGAAGCCCTGCAGGCGTATCCCATTCCTCAAACCACTTCCGAGTTTATTTGACCCTTCTATCATGGAACATTCATTTTATTAAGTACTTATTTTCCACGGAACTGGCTGTCAAGCTGCTTGTCTTTAAAGAGCCAGGCCTCTAGTCCAGTAGGGCAGGTGGACAGGGTGCCAGAAGACCTCTCCCGGTCAGCCACTGCCCTTCCAGTTGGAAGTCTTCTGATGTGTAGCTGAAGGGTGGTAATGAATGAACTGTGGAGATTGGGTGACACGCATTGGCTGTGTGGCTGTCCAACACATCAGCCTTACAGCATGTGAGTCAAGCTCAGCTCGGGTTCTGACAGGGTCCAGAATTACCATGTTAAGTGTGCAGAGTTCAAGGATCTGTTGTACTTGGGTCTTGGGGCTCATCAAGGTTGGGAAGCTGGGAGGTTAGGTGGAATGGAACCCTCTGGGGAAGGACAGGTATGGCTTGTCCTGCCATGCTGACCCCACTGGCCAGCAGGAGTGGCAGCCTAAACCAAGAGCAGAGACTTGCCCTTCCTTTTGTTGCTGTTTGGTGCCTTTGAGTTGGTTCTGACTCAGTAACACCGTGCACAACAGGACAAAACACTGCCGGTCCTGAGCCAGCCTCACGGTTGTTACGTTTGAGCCCAATGTTGCTGCCACTGTGCCACTCTGTCTCATTGTGGTCTTCCTCTTTTTTGCTGACCTTCCACTTGATGTCCTTCTCCAGGGATTGGTCCTTTGTTACACCATGCCCAAAGTACGCAAGACAAGTCTTGCCAACCTCACTTCTAAGAAGCAATTTGGTTGTACTTTATGTTTGTTCTGGTAGTCCGTGGTACCTTCAGCATTCTTTGGCAACACCGTAATTCAAATGCATCCGTTTTCAATGGTCTTCCTCAGTCATTATCCAACTTACACATGCACGTGAGGTGATTGGAAATACCATGGCTTGGGTCAAGTGCACCTTAGTTCTCATAGTAACATCTCTGCTCTTTAACACTTTAAATAGGTCTTTAACTGCAGATTTGCTTAATGAAGTACATTCTTTGATTTCTTGACTGCCATTTCCAAGAGTGTTGAACGTCAGTCTTTTCTCCATTTATCATGATGGTATTTATTGGTCCAGTTGTTAAAATTTTCATTTTCTTTACATTGAAGTGCAGTCCATACTGGAGACTGTAGTCTTTAGTCTTTATCAGTAAGCATTTCAAGCCCTCTTCAATTCTAGTAAGCAAGGTTGTGTTATCTGCATATTGCAGGTTAATGAGTCTTTCTCTAATCCTGATGCCACGGTCTTCTTCCTGTAATTCAGTTTCCCGGTTTATATTTATTCAATGTACAGATTGAATAAATGCAGTGAAAGGATACAACCCGATGCACACCTTTCCTGATTTTAAACCATTCAGTATCCTCTTGTTCTGTTCTAACTACTGCCTCTTGATCTAGGTACAGGTTGCTCGTGAACACAATTTAATGTTCTGAAATTCACATTATTATTAATGTTATCCATAATTAATTATGAGTCACCCAGATTCTTTTGCATAGTCAATAAAGTACACATCAACATCTTTCTGGTATTCTCTGCTTTCAGCCAACATCCATCTGATGCCAGCAATGCTATCCCTCATTCCACATGCTCTTCTGAATCAGAAGTGAATTTCTGGCAGCTCCCTGGCAGTGTACTACTGTAACTGTTACTGACTTATCTTCTGTAAAATTTTACTCTCATAAGGTATTAACGATCGTTCAGTGATTTCCACATTCCACTGAGTCACTCTTCTTTGATACGGGCACACATGCACGGGCTACATCAGTTTGTTGAAAGATTTCCATTTTTATTCCATCAATTCTGCAAGCCTTGTTTTTTGTCATTGTCTTCAGTGCATCTTGGACTTCTCCCTTCAATACCATGGGTTCTTGATCATATGGTACCTCTTGAAATAGTTGAATGTCAGCCAATTCTGTTTGGTACAGAGACTCTGTGTATAACTCTGTATTCTCTCCATTTTCTTTTGATAATATCGTGCTCATAATCCTTCAGTATTGCAGCCCCTGGCTTGTATTTTTCCTTCAGTTCTTTCAGCTTGAAAAACAACAGTTTCCCTTTTGGTTTTCTAACTCCAGGTCTTCGTACAATCCATTATAGTACTTTACTTTGTCTTCTTGAGCTGCCCTTTAAAATTTTCTGTTCAGCCCCTTTTCTTCCAGTTGCGTTAGCTTCTCTACATTCAAGGGCAGATTTCAGAATCTTTTCTGGCATCCATTTTGTTTTTTTTCTTTCTTTCCTGTCTTGGTCTTTTCTTTCTAGTGACCTTTTGTTTTCTTCATGTATGATGTTCTTGATGTCATCCCACAACTTTTCTGGACTGTTATCAGTGTTCAGTGTGTCTGTCAAATCTGTTCTTGAGATGCCCTGTAAATACAAGTAGGGTATCTTCAAGGACATATTGTAGCTCTCATGGACATTTTCTTTGGCTTCAGCCTGGACTTGTTTATGAGCAACTGATGGTCTGTTCCATAGTCGGCCCCTGGTCTTGTGTAGGCTGATGATAGTGATCTTCTCCATCACCTCTTCCCACATGTATAGTCTACTTGATTCCTATGTATTCCGTCTGATAAGGTAGTCACCACTTACATTGTTAAAAAAAGGTAGTTGCAATAAGTTGTTGGTCTTGCAAAATTCTATCTTGCTATCTCCAGCATTAACGAGTCTTGTACGATTCGGGCTGCCAACCTCAAGGTCAGCAGTTCAAAACCACCAGTGGTTCCACAGGAGAAAGATGAGGCTTTCTGCTCCTATAAAGATTTACAGCCTCAGAAACCCTGTGCAGGGTCGCTATGAGTCGGAACTGACTCCATGGTCCTTAACAACAACATCTCCAGCATTGTTTCTATTACCAAGACCATATTTCCCCACTACCAGTCTTATCAATGTGTCTTGATTGCTTGTTTGATGAATTTCAGACTGAATAAATTGGTACGTTCTTCATTATTGGCTTTAATGGTTGGTGCATAAGTGTGAATAACAGTGGTATTAACACACTGGTCCTCCTTGTTGTTGTTGTTGTTAGGTCAGTTCCGACTCATACTGACCCTGGATAGGCTTTCCAAAGAGTGACTGGTGGATTTGAACTGTAGACCTTGCGGTTAACAGTCCATTGCTTATTCTACAATGCCACACCAGGACTCCATGTAGGTGTATGGATATTAGTCTGTCACGGACAGCCTTTTTTAAAGATAGATTTTAAAATGCTCTTTTTGATGATGACTGCGACACCATTTCTCTTCATTTTGTCATTCCCAGCCTATAGCATGTCCTTTTCAAAATGGCCAATTCCAGTCCAATTCAGCATGCTGATGCTTAGGATTATCAGTCTTTATGCATTCCATTTCATTTTTTTTATGACTTCGAATTTTCCTAGATTCGTAACTTCATAATTCTATATTCCAATTGTAAATGAATGTTTACAGCTGTTTCTTCACATTTCAAGTGAAGGTCCCGAAAGTTCTGCGCCCCCCACAGCATTAAGGTCAGCTCTGCTTTGTGAAGGCGGCTCTTCCTAGTCGTATTTTAAGTGCTTTCCAACCTGAGGGGCTCATCTCCCAGCGCTGTATCAGATGGTGTTCCAGTGCTATTCATAACCTTTCAGAAGTGGTCTGCCTTTCCTTCTTCCTAGTCTGTCTTAGTCTGGAACTGCTCCCTAGTCTCTGGCTTTATGAGCACCTTAACTCAGACCGCACCTACCTGGAAGACTTCCCAGGCTTGGTGCATTTCATCTACGTGGACCGCACAACTGGGCACATGGTGGCCCCTTCCCTCAATGTCAGCAAGAAGACATCGTCAGAACTGGGCAAGGGGCCCCTGGCTGCCTTCGTCAAAACTAAGGTAACCTCTCCCCAACCCACGGATGTGATGAGGTCTGGCCCTGCCTGGGAAGAGCTAGCCCCTCCATCCTCCAGGTTCCCAGGAGAATCTGACCCCAGTGCACACTCCAGTCAGACTACCAACTCCCCAGAAAGGGCCACCTTCTTCTTGGTCTTGGGGCACAGTAGGTATTGGGGAAGCACCTGGAATGGCAGAATGGTCTGGGCAGTGAGATCACAGGAGAAAATGGCCAGTGTCCATCACAGTGTGAGGCCACTGAGTTTTTTGCTCAATGAAATTAGAATTAGCTGAAATGGAAAGAAGAAATTGAGTTGGTATCATAATTTAAAACTAAGTGGTTTCTACTAAGGAAGCATTCTCTGGGGAATTTATTCTTCTAATTTAACTGACCCGGTTTTATAGCAAAATAGTGGTTTTTGTGGTGGGGGAGTGGACCTCTGTCATGCTATTAAAAAATATATCTAAACTCATACCCACACATATAAATGAGGGTAAGTCAAAAAAAACTAACTCGTACACACACACATGTACAGATGAGGGTATGCCAGAAGTGTTGCTGTAAGATTCTAGTTAATATATGTCTGAGTTTATTCCAATCCAGAAGTGTCTGTAAACATGTCACTGTGACCAGTGGGTGGCTGCAGATACATGTTTTAGGGGTGCATTGTCCTTGTCTCCTTGGGTACCCTAAGGTACCTCTTGTGCAAAGATCACCTAGCTCAAAGAGTTCATTTTTCCATTAGTTTTTAAAGCAAGATTGAAGCAAATGAAGGCGGTTTTATGGAATGGATTGTAACCAGGAATGAGTCTTGAGTTTACCAGCAAGATCCAGAGAGCTAAGTCCATCCAAAACCATGGCATCTGAGGGGATCTGCTGGGCCAGTTAAATTCAAAGCAGAGATCAGCCCGGAAGGTTATAATGACTGTGCTGTGGGCTCCAAAGGAGCAATCTTGATAGATTTTCTCAAAGGACGCAGGATCATCAGAGGGGTTTATGATAAAAAAAGTTTTAAAAACTGGTGACAGAAAAAGCACTGAGGAATTTTGTTTTGTTTTTTCCATCACAGTGATGCACTGGCTGATTCTCCAAGGGTAGCAAGGGCTGCTCTATTAGGATTGCATTGGGAAACCTAACCCTGTCCACGCTACAGCCCAGATCATGCCCCTGTAGATTTCTTTGAGTTTCCAAAACTCAAAGAGCATCTAAAAGGAATATGATTTGAGTCCCTCGAGAATGCCGAAAGTGATGTTTTGACATGGTGCGAATGGAGAAGCAGAGAATTCTTCAGGGAAGGGTTAGAAAGCCGGAAGCACCTCCTTCAGAAGTGGGCAGACCTAGATGGAGGAGATTCAAGAAGCAATAGTTCCCTATTTGGATAGTTTTGCTTAATATACTACCCTCCTGTGTGTGTGTGTACATACAAGGAGGCTTCAAAACACTTATGGAAAAATTCCATTATATTTCCTTCAATTACTCCACAACCTTTTTGAATTTCCCTCATGTGTGTGGGGAGGAAGGGGGCCTACGTGATTATGATATTGTGCTGCTAGGTTATGTACATAATTATTACTATATATTACCACATACAGCGTCTCATTCTGGCTAAAATATGACAAGGGACAGATGGGTGTTTGGAAGTCCCGCTCGGCCTCTCATGAGCTGTGTGGCCGTGGGCAGTGCTTGGTCTGAGTCTGTGTCTTCATCAGAAAAGGGAGCTTCTCACGCTGTTCGCATGATAGGGCCATTGTGAAGCTCTCTCATGTGTACGACAGGCCGCACCATGTGAGGCAAATCATACGGTTATCTCTGACCTGTCATGCCCAGATAGTCGGCACTGACATCTCGGGACATTTCTTTTCATTTCCTTTCTGTGTTTTCTGAGGTTGAGCTCCGGCTGCATAGCCACGTGTGTTTACTGCATCTTCACCTCACAGTAGAGCCTGCCTTTCCTCCTGTCATGAATTCTTTATAAACATGACTTTTAACAGCTCCATAATAGTCCGTCAGGTGAGCGGAGCACACTTCACTTACCCGTTTCCCAGTGTTGAACATTCCGTTGTCTCCAGCCTTTCACTGTGATAAGTAATTCTGCAACACATACCTTTGCACATACGTCTCTGTCCTCATCTCTGATTATTTCCTCAGTACAGATTCCCAGAGACGGAATTACTAAGTCAGGTGGGAGGAATGATTTTAAGGTTATTAATGCATGTTGTCAAATGGCTCTCCTGAGAAGTGTAGCGAAGCCAGGTCTCTGTTTTCCAGATTTATTTAGCTAGTACATTGTGATCAGGTGTGGCAGACCTCATGCATCCTGTTCACTGAGCTTTCTCGTGAACACGCTCATCCGCCTACTCCCAACCCCTGGGCAAGGGAGGAACGCCCACACAGTCCCTCTCTGCTGTGTCCTCTCCAGCGGTTCATGGGCAGTATCACGGGGACCCTGCGTTAGGCACGAGAAAGTCAGCAGGACCCTTAGTGAGCCTAGCTTGGACCTCGCCTGTGGAGCGGGACACCAGCACCTTCCTGGCGTGGAACCAGAGGTGACTCTGAACAGCAGGAGGGGTCTCAGGTGCCACACCACAATCACCTACATTACTTAACAGTATCCCTGGCTATTTTGCGGCCTGAGTGATGGGTTTGCTAATGTATGGCTCACGTGTAGCACGTTAAAGTTACATAAAGTGTCTGTAGGTTTATTTAGCCTCCCGATGACTACAGGGTAGTCCATCCATCAGCACTGTAAGGAATTGATTTCTCTCGAGCTCCGCCTCTGTGCCAAGGCGGAAGCAGACAGTGCTGGCCTTAGGGAGTCCCTCCCTCACCCAGGTGCGTTGTCTTTCCCTTCAGCCTCAGCTGTGTGTGAAGGTGGGAGCCCAGCTTGGCCCTGTAATCAGGAATGGGGCTTGCAGGCTGTGAGGGTGGCAGGGGTGAACACGCTCCCTCCTTCCCACAGGTGTGGTCTCTGATCCAGCTGGCACGCAGGTACCTGCAGAAAGGCTACACCACGCTGCTGTTCCGGGAGGGGGACTTCTACTGCTCCTACTTCCTGTGGTTCGAGAACCATTTGGTGGGTGCAGCGGGGTCCCAGGACTGGGCAGGCCTACAATGCTTTCCTTCCTTGCAACTCTTGGTCCTGCCCTCTGAAGCATGTCAGGCTATCTCTTCTCTTCGCCTCTTCTTGTCCCTGATGGGAGGAAGGACAGGTAAACACAGCAGGTTGACACCCAGAACTCACAGGTCCCGTTCTCCTGGGGTGGGGGGGGGCATTTCACATTACTTTGTGTTCCCCTGTACCCAGCAGCCTGACAGTCATGCCATCGTTCAAGGCTGTGCCCAGGTAGACGTGTGAGCAGGTCACTAGGTGCCCAAGGGGGAGGCCACTCAAATCACACACTTCATGAGTACAGCTTCAACACCGTGAGGTCATGCCTGAAGCACAGCACGCTGCCATTCCCATTGTATGGATGGGGAAACCGAGGTGCAAAGCAAGTAACCAACCTGCTCAAGGAAGCTGAGCATGTGGCTCTCAGGTCTCCTGCCTCATGTCCCTGTATGCAATTCGACAATGTAAACTCAAGATACTGTTGTTGTTAAGTGCTAGCGAATCAGTTCCAATTCAGCGTCCCTGTGTAGGGTTTTGGAGGAGCAGCTGGTGGTGGGGTTGAACTCTCGACCTTGTGGTTTGCAGTCCAGTACTGATCCTACAGTACCACACCGGAAGTCTGCAAATAAAGTAATAGGGCTTTACTCTCCTAAGTCTTCTCTCTCTTTCTCTCTGTTCCCTCAGTTCTCAAAGAATCATTCCTCTACCCCTCATACCCCCTTGGTCCCCTTGAGTTCCTGCCCCTTCCCTGTATTCTCTGTGCACTTGGCAGTGAGCCCGCCTTCACTTCACCCTGAGGGTGACACCCACCCTTTTCACACTGTGTAGATATCAGGGTCTTTAATGACTCTTCATTTGGTTCTCACACCCACTGCCCATGATGGTTGGTGAAGGTATTATTGTCCCCATTTTACAGATGGGGACACTGGGACTTGGGGAGGCCAAATGCCCTGGCCAGGGTCACTGAGCCAGACTGGAAATCGGCTTTGCTGCCCCTCAGGCCCCCACTCTTACTGCACCAGCTCCTCCCATGTGCCCTGTATGTGTGTCTGGCAGAAGGCCTGCAGAGTCGCTTTCCCTGCACTCACAGAAGGGACTGGGCCGTGGGGGTGAGGAGGCTCCCATCTCAATGCTGGCCACACCTGCAGGCGTGTGCCCTCATGGATCAGCTGTTCAGTGTTGGCCAAGGACACCTCCTGGTTTGCAGTGTGGCTGTTGTAGAGCCCATGTGAGCTTTGGGACCCTTGGTCTTACAGTGGGCTAAGCACTGGCCTGTAAACCTCAAGGTCAGCAGTTCAAACCCACCAGCCACTTCATGGGAAAAAGATGAGGCTGTCTGCTCTCATAAAGATTCCCGGTCTCAGAACCCCTGAGGAGCAGGCCCCATTACTGCTGTGAGTTAGAATTGACTCGATGACAGCCAGTTTGGTTTGGGTTTTTTCCCTCAGAGGCTCTACCTGTTCTTCCCCTGTATCACCCTCCAGGCGGTCTCCCAGTGGAGCGGCTGCCTGTCCCGGTCCCCCTGTGATAGTGAGTCCACATGCCAGGCAGGGCCCTTGAAGCTCTTTGCCCATTATCCGCAGCAGCCCTAGGGTCCTTGTGATTGTTTCTGGGTGAGAAAAGAAGGCAGAAAGAGGCCCCACATTTCCCCTAGCAAGGAACTCACTGCAGGACGGTGAGCTCAGGGCCTCCCCATTCTCACCACCTGCTTCCTCCTGCCTCAGGGCTGCAAACTGCAGATAATCGAGGTGCCTGTCCTTTCTGATGACTCGGTGCCCATCGGCATGCTGGGTGCAGACTATTACAGGTAACGTATGATCTGGGAAGGCCACTGGGGACAGTGGGTGCACCCCTTGCTAGGTGATAAGTACCACCCCCTCCCATCAGGAATGCATCACCCCAGGAAGCTAGAGACCCCCAGTGGGGCTCCAATTCCCTGAGAGAGGCAGTAAGCTAGAAGCTCATTTGCATTTCAGCCAGGGTTCTGCGGCAGCCGTGTGCTAGGACACTGTTCCCTTCTGCAGACCCCAGGGTGGGGGTTGGAACCCACAGCTGAACAGAGGTTTGGGGCAGATACACGTCAGGTCAGGTGCTTGGGGACAGGGAGGCCCTCAGTGTCCATCAATGAGATGAGCTGGGAATGAGTGGTAGAGCACTCACCTCGTGTCTGATGGACCGTGGTGGCCTGGCTTCTGAATCCCACCTTTCCCATGTCTTCCCCCAGGAAACTCCTGCGCTATTACAGTAAGAGCCACCCAGCCGAGGACGTCAGGTGCTATGAGCTGCTGGCCATCCACCTGTCTGTTATCCCCACCGATGTGGTGGTGCAGCAGGTGGGCGAGTTGGCCTGGCGCCTGTGGGAGGCCTCCCACACACCCCTATTCTAGGCCTGGCTGACTGACCACACACAAGCTCTCCTCTGCATACGGTTCTCCTGTGTGATCAAACGTTCCCCATGGCAGGGCAGCCATCCTGAGGATGGGGCAGAGCTCCAGGACAGCCCCAGTGTTTCCTAAAGACCACCCTCCATGCGGAGTAACCAGCAGACCTCCAAATTCTCCCCTGTAAAGACATGGGGAGCCAGGGGGAACCATGCATCCCTCATCTCCTGGAAACAACAGTGCTGTGAGGTTAGAACTGGCTCAGCGCCCCCTCTGTTCACTCCCAGGAGACCAGAGGGTCCTGGCCACTGCCACTTTCTGCCGCTCTCTGGGTGGAGAAAGCTCCTGCAGGAAGATGCCTCCTTCCTGGATAAAAGATGCCCCATTGGGAGGGATTGGATTCCCACCCTACCACCTACAGCCTGAGGCGCTGGGCAAGTATCTTAACTGCTAGACTTGTTTCCCCACAGGGGAAGTGGTGCCACCTACCTGGCAGGCATGCGGAAGGTGCTCAATAAACGTTGGTTATCGTGACTGTTATTCTGGCCCAAACCTGCTGAGTCCCAGCCCCTTGTCCTGGTGACCCCTTCCTGGCAGACCTCATCTTGGCACCTCTGCCCTAGGACTATGGGCCTCGAGGTCCTGGCCCCATAGACTGTCTCACCTGGCCTGTCAGGGAGCCCAGGCTCTGTGTTTGGGTCAGAGTTTCCCGTGTGATTCGTAACATGCCCTGGATTGAGAGCCACTCCCCATGGACACAGGGCCTGTTTTTTTGTTTTTTTTTTGTTTTTTTTCTTCTTCTTAAATGTTTTATTGTGAATTATGTGATCGTTTACATGGGAGAACATTAGTTTTACATTCATTCCATCGTATATTGTCTCTCATTGCCATGGTTACAATCCCCTCCATGCACTTCTCCCCGTACCCCCCTGGTCTTCAGCACCCAGTCACTCTCCCTCTCTGGATCTAAAGTCTCCAGCTGCTCCATCGCTCCACGTCATCATCTCTGCCTCCATTTCAGGCATCACTGCTTCTCTGGGTAGGGTCCCACTCTCTGCTCTTCTCCCTTGATGGTCCTAGGGACCTCCGCTCCTAGACTGAAAAGTTAATCACTCCCCTCCTTGCTATAAAATGTCTACCTTTACATTTCCAACCCTCACAATCAGTCCTGATAACAATTATTCACTATTGTATCACAAGAGACCCATCTGCATTTCATTGCATCAGCCCCGCCTAGTCGGATTGAATACTACTCACTGGAGATTCTACCTTCCTCCAGACCCTCTGGATCTAGGTTCCCTCTTGAAAGCCAGTCACTTCTTGCCTTTGTAGCCCCCTGGCCCCCATTTTGGGTAGCCAATGTCCAAGCTGCTGATCCCTATCTACTCTGTGTGTGGAGGGGGTGGGAATGATTCTTGCTGTAAGGACTTGTTCCCTCTTTTGAGCTACTGCTTCCATAGGTGTAGATCAATTTCATCAAATTGTATGAGAATACTTTTTTTTTTTCCCTCTTCTTTTTACTTCTGGTTGAGCTCTGATCATCCAGTCACTGAAGCCAGGACAAGTGGGTATTATCTGCAAGTGTGGGTGTTCTTAAGGGCCTGTTTTTTAACTTTCATTTTTAACTTTATTATGAATTGAGTGAAGGTTTACAGAGTAGATAAGTTTTTCATCCAACAAACCGTTTGCTTCATTTCAGCAATTGCATCCCTCCAGCGTAAGGTCAGTTATCACGCTTCCTCCCTGTGACTTTTGCTTTTACTCATTCTTGTCAAGCTTGTCCTGAGGTTAATGTCAATGCCCTTCTGATCTTGACTGGCTGACCCTTCCATGGTGAGCAGACCTCACTATGTTGTTGTCCCCTCTCTACTGCTTGGCTGAAAATGGAGCCACAAGGTTAGTTCCAGACCCAAAGTGTTTCCAAGGGCCGTAGGCTCAGATCCTGTTCATCTGTTTCTGACCAGCAACCCTGCTCTAATTTATCATTTTGAGTTTTGCTTTGCATTCCATGCCCCTCCCCTCCTACCAGGGACCTTCTAATGTGATTCCTATCAGAATAGTTGGTAGTGATAGCTAGGCACCATCTACTTCTGGTCTCTGAGTCGTGAAGACTGATGTTCACGTATTCCAATAGTCCGCTGGTCTGATTCCAAGTGTCTTCAGTTTTCTTCACTCGCCTTTCCTCCACACAGGGAGAGACCAATATTTGTACCTTAGATCGCTACTCAAGAGCTTTTAAGATCCAAGTTGAAGCACCCCTTTTCTTACCAGCAATCCCTCCCCTCAAAGGATTCAAGGACCAGAGACCATAGGAGGAAGTGTTCTGAGACTGGGGAGGGGGTCTGCAGAAGGAGTCCACCCCTCTCAGGCCCAAAGACAGCTGCTGGGATGCAGAAATAAGCATCCTCCACAGCAGAGGACTGGTACCTTTGTAATGCCAGGTGTGTCCAGAGACTGTGGTCTTTCCCTGTAGGGGGCAGGGTGGGGGCAAGGTGGGGCTGAAGGTGATGGAACTCAGAGTGAAGTCCTTGTAGGCAGCAGTAAGGAGCTGCCACCAAGATTACTGGGTCTGTGCTCCTCAGCGTTGTGATTTATACCTGGAAGTTCAAAAAGAAAACGGGGGAACGGAAGAGCACGGAGAAGAGTAACACTCACTCACTAATATTTAAACCTCAAACCAAAAATATCCTGAAGTCTTCTTTAAAACAAACTAGAGTTTGGCTTAATTAGTCACAACTGCCCGCCCTGAGCATTGAGTTGTTGTAAAAACCGTCTGGCTGGGATAAGATGGACTACAGAGACTAGAAAGCTGGACCAGGAACCAGAGGGGGCAGTGAGCTTGTGTGGACGAGGGAGGAGCCATTCAGCAGAGGGGGCTGAGACAAGCTGTGCAGCTCAAGGAATGTCAGCACCGCTGAGTTGTGCATGTAGAAATTGAACTGGTGTGTGTTTTGCCGTACACATTTTTCAGCTACAGTTTTTTAAACAACTGAAAGTAAACTGTATTTGAAAATCAGAAAAAAGAAAAACATGAAGGAAAAAAGTTCCATTATATATAAGCTCATCAAATGGGTTTTGGGGTATGCGCTTTTGTTGCCAAGTTTGCATGTGGCATGACCCATTTAATAAATGCCCCCAATTTTTCAAGATTGTGAATAACACTAGAAGCCCTGGTGATGCTGTGGGTTAAGCATTGAGCTGCAAACTGCCAAATTGGTGATTCAAACCCACCAGGTGCTCTGGAGGAGAATGAAGAGGCTGTCCACTGCTGTAAAGATGGACAGCTTTGATAACCCTATAGGGCAGTTCTGCCCTGTCCTATAGGGTTGCGATGAGTCGGATTGGACTCAAAGACAGTGACTTTGATTCGGTGTGGTTTCAGTAACACTGGGGTGAACATCCTGAATGAGGTTTTAGTAGAAAGATTCACCCACAGTGTAAAGCTGGGGTTGTCCAAGTCGAGAGGAGAAGGGACCCTTGGAGAGCCGTTTCCTCAGTTACCAGCTTTCCCACACCGGGCCCCAATCTGACGTTCATATCTAAGCACAGGTGTCTGCAGCAACCACGGGTTGCTTTCCCTACAACACAGCCTCACCCATGGGGTGCTTTCCCTACAACAAGGTGCAGAGTCTACTAAGAAAGCGCTTTTGCTGAAGATATTTACAAATGTGATCTGTAAACTTTGAAGATTTCTTGGAAATGAGAAAGGTTCCCAGAGACAGGAAAGAAATGCCAGGTCTTCAAAAGCAGAAGACAGCCCAAGAATTGCATCCTGCCAGCCTGTGGTTAGGCACAAGTGTTGAAACTTTTGGAGAGGGCAGACACAGATGTGGCCCTCCTGGCTGAACCCCTGGCCACAGTGATGCTCAGCAGTTGCTCCCAAAGCTTTCAGCCACTCTACCTCCTATGGACTCATCCTTACAGGCAGGAGACTCGGAGTTTGAGCAGACTCAGCCAAGAACCTATCTCTTCTAGCCCTTCAAATTCCCACCCAGCATGTCCCAGACATTTGATTTCTTAGGAAGGCAGAGGCATGGGCCTGGGGTGGTGGGCGGGACGGCTCACTGCCTGCTAAGGACAGCAGCTCCCTCATCTGTACAGTGAAGCACTTTGAGGCTCAGATAGGGTCCCTGGGTAGTGCCCGTGGCTCTTAAGTGAAAGGTATGCAGTTTGAATCCCCTCGTGGGCACCTTGGAAGACATTTTTCGCTTAGGGAAATCAGCCATTGAAAACCCTGTGGAGCACACACAATTCTATCACACATATGGGGTTGCCTTGAGTCAGAAGGGTCTTGAGGGCGACTGAGTTGGGTGAAGGACTTGATAGCACCTGGTTTGGGGTTTGTTGTTACGTGCTATCAAGTTGATTCCTACTCATAGCAACTCTGTGTAGAGTTTCTGAGGAGCAGCTGGTGAGTTTGAACCACCGACATTGCAGTTCAAACTGACCTTGCAATCCAGTGCTTATCCTACAGTGCCACACCAGGACTCCGGTTTGGGGCTTGGTGGTTTAATATTATTATCAGAGGCTGCCTGAAACATTCAGCACAATGCCTGGCTCCTGGGGCTCTCTGAATTACCAGCGTGGCAATCATTGTCCTGAGTCCTGAAGCCTCCGACTTCTGCTGGGTTAATGGGCAACCGCCTCTGGGCGACTCTGCTCTGTGAAACGCCCACTGTGGAGCACAAAGTGACCTCTGAGCCAGTGCAGGAAACGGCTGCAGTTCCTCCCTTCTTCCTGCTTGCTCCCAGCTCCTCCCCTGGCCTAGGGAGGCACAAAAACCTGATGGCAAGCAAATTCCTAGTTCCAGTTGCTCCACACAGGGGAGAAATGGTGGCTGGTGGTGCAGATCTCTGCAGGGCCCTGCGTGCCTCTCCCCACCCTGCTTGGAGACAAGCTCACTCTGGAGCCAGGGGACATCTGAAGTCTGAGTATGATGCCGTGGTGATAGGAGCAGGTAACATGGGGCTGACCAGAGCTATGGAGTGGGCGGCAGCCATAAACTGAGACCAGGAGGGGCCCTTTCACTGAGCCCCACCACTCACTCCACCTATGGTCAAAACCAGTCAGGAGTCTGGGCGAGAAAGGGGCTATGGTGGAAGGCCCACCTATCTGGGAGCCAGGTGCCCAGGTTCTCATACTGGCTTGGCTGTCAATTTGCTGTGTGGTTTCAGGTAATCCTTTCCCTCTCTGGTCTTGGCTTGTCCCATTCAGAATAACCAGGGGGCACTAGATGAGCTCTGCTACAAACTTAGTTCCCGCCACAGTTTCCAAAAGCATATGGTCTAGAAGGAGTCCCGGGGTGACACAGTGAATGCTTGACTACGAACTGAAAAGGTGGTGGTTCAAACCCACCCAGAGGCACCTTGGAAAAAAGGCCTGGCAGTCTGCTCCCAAAGAGTCCCAGCTGGGGAAGCTGTGTGGGTGCAGTTATCCTCGGCACAGGTGATGTGAGTCGGATCAGCTCAGTGGTACACGGTACATAGCGACCCTGCCTAGGGTTTCCGGGGCTGTAAATCTTTATGTGAGCAGAAAGCCTCATCTTTCTCCCACGGAACAGCTGGTAGTTTCGAACTGCTGACCTTGAGGTTAGCAGCCCGATTCGCAACCACTACGCTACCAGAGCTCCTTCAGTGGTACATTGGGGCTGGAAAGAACGATTCTGGGAGCATGTGAGTAGGTATGAGCTGGTTCACCACTGATCACCCAGCTCCGGAGGAAACAGGGTTGTCTGTTCAAACAGGACAGTCAGGAGAAATGAAAGAGCCATGACCTGAGTCCTGGTGTGGCACTCTACGATAAGCACTGAACCGTAAGGTCAGTTTGAACTGCAAGGTCGGTGGTTCAAACTCACCGGCCGCTCCTCGGAAACCCTATTCAGGTTGACAGCACTTAGCAATAGAGCCATGTCCCAGGATTCTGACTGTGCCTGGTAAGGGTGACAGACCCATTTTGTTCCCTCTCAGGGTTCTTGGGGCCTGCTGCATTGATCCTGTCACACTTGACTGGCCCCAGACTACAAAGGGCCAAATTCTGGGTAACCAGCTGAGGCTGTGGGTCAGGACTAGGTCGTCTCTCCTTGGAGCCTCTGTTCACACAAGTGCCCAAAGCTTGACCTTCTGACGTTATTTACAACTGCATTATACAGAAGGGCAATGAATGGCAGAGCAGAAAGAAGACACAGCTTGAACGTTGCATCCCTGATTTGGCAGGTCTTCATTGTTGGCATCCTAGTGTGGATAAGCACTGGACTGCTAACCACAAGCTTGGCGGTTCAAACCTATACAGGGCTGGAAACCCTGTATAGGGATGCTATGAGTCAAAACCAGCTCGACAGCACTTACTAACAATTGTTGGAATGCACAAAAGATACTGGTAAATGTTTAAATCGTCTCTACAGCGCAAAGTGCTTGTACGTGCACATGAACCCATTGCTGTGATTTGGTTCCAAGTTATGGGGACCCTATAAGACCCTGTACAAGGGTCGCTATGGGTCGGAACCGACTCGACGGCACTTAACAACAACAACAACATAAGACAAAAGTAGAACTGCCCCGTGAGCTTCCCAAGGCTGTGAATCTTTACAGAAGCAGCAGCTAGGAAGTTAGAACTGCTGACCTTTCAGTTAGCTGCCAAGCATTTAACCACTGTGTCACCAGGGCCCCTCCATGTAGGTACATAAAATATAAACTGATTGCCATCAAGTCATTTCCGACTCATGGGCACCCAGGTGTTACAGAACAGAATGGCTCCAGAGTGCTTTCTTGTGGAATCAGATCACCCGACCATTGAGTGCGTTCAAACCGCTAGACTTTAGGTTAGTTATAGTTGTGAAGTGCTGTCGAGTTGGTTCTGACCCACAGCGACCATTTATAGAGTTTCTGAGGAGCAGCTGGTAAGCTTGAACCACCGACCTCTCAATTCAAACAGCATTGCAGTCTAACGCATTAGCCCACAGCGCCACAAGAGCAAACCACATGTACCACCCAGAGACCAAATATGTGCATAATTAATAGACAGTTCTCCTTATTTACATTACATGTAGCCAATTCATTCTCACCCAATGCTCTCATTGGTTTTTGTCAAATGAAGTAGCCAACCTACAATTGTAATCGATGAGCCAGGGTTGTTTGACAAGGAATGTTGTCGCTATTTTTGTTTGCTTTAAAGAGTAGGATGAAAGTGAAACAGGTGAAGTAATGGATGTGTGTTGGAACTTTACTTCTCCTTCAGTGACATCAACTTTGTTCAGTCAGATAGTATTTGTCAAATGCTGGGAGAGTCTTTCCTCATTTTGTGTGCTGATCACAATGGAACAGCTACAGACACAAGAGTCCAATATGCATTATTAATAGCATGTTTCCATGAACTCTAGCAATCGACAAAACAAAACCTCAAGTCCCACTTTGTAGTGTTTGCTGATTTCCATGGTGTAAATTTTCCACCGCCACATTCTTCAAGCTACCAAGGTGGCACCATTGCATGTAGGGTTGGTGTTGAATGTTGAGAATCCACCATTATGTGGTGTGTCACACTGATACCAGGAACAACCGTTAGACATTTGACTAAATGCGCCTAGAAATGACTTGAGGAGCTTGTTAAAAAAAAAAAAAAAAGCAGCTTCCCGGGCTCTGGTGCTGGCGAGCCTGATTCTGCAAGTCAAAGGTGATTCCTGGGAATCAGCTTGTCTTTGGGTGACTCTGAAGCAGCTGACTGCAGCCCACACTTGGGAGATCCCTTCGTCAGGGCCGCTCCTCTCAGAGCCCCAGCTGCCTCCGGTCCCTGGGGTCAGGCCTGAGTTTAGCTGGGCCCAGGGGAGCTACAGGAGAGCTCAGTCAGGGCTGTTGGATCCTCAACCTTTGTCATTTAAGGTCTGTGCACAACATGTGATGATTAAACCAGGCCCAGGTGCCTGGAAGTCTTTATTAGTTTTCTAATCAGCTCTAATTAAAAGAACCCATACGTAGACCAAGAGGCAACCACTCAAATGAAACAGGAGAGACTGTGTCGTTTAAAATAGGAAAGGTGTGTGTCAGGGTTAGATCCTTTCACCATGCTTATTCATTCTCTATGCTGAACAAATAGTGTGAGTAGCTGAATGGTAGAAAGTAGAACACAGCATTAGAATTGCAGTAAGACTCATTAACAACACACTATGTAGATGATTCAACCTTACTTGCTGAAAGTGAAGAACTTGGAGCATTTATTGATGAAGATCAGAGACTACAGCCTTCAATAGAGATTACATAAAAAATACAAAGACAACATTAATGCTAAACATAAAGAATTCTCACAACTGGGCCAGTAAGTAACATCATGATAAACAGAAAAGATGGAAGTTGTCAAGGATTTTATTTTACTTGGATCCATGGAAGCAACAATCAAGAAGTCACCTGATGTATTACATTGGGCAAATATGCTGCAAAAGACCTCTTTAAAATGCTGAAGAGCAAATACAGAGACACTTTGAGGACTAATGGGCGCCTAACCCAAGCCAAGGTATTTTGAATCAGCTCATATGCAGGAGAAAGCTGGACAATGAAGAAGAAAGAAGAACAAAACAGTATGTTTTGGGAGCAGTACACCCAGAAGACTTTTTAGAAACAAAAATGGTGAGACTCCATCTTACATGTTTTGGAGGGACCAGTCTCTGGAGAACATACCTGATAAAGCAGAGGGTCCGTGAAAAAGCGGAAGACCTTCAACAAGATGGACTGATGCCGTTGCAGCACCCATGGACTTAACACAGCAATGATTATGAGAATGGTACAGGACCAAGCAGTGTTCCATCCTGTTGTACTTGGGATTGTTAGAGTTGAAACTGCCTTGAGGGCGCCTAACAACAACAAATCAAAAGCTACCATATATTGAAGGCCTGCTAAGGGTCAGGTGCTTTGTAAATATTATTTCTGTCTCTGCAACACTATGAGCCTGCAGCAGCCCCTCAAAGTTACATATGAAGAAGCTCAAGGCTCAAGGGGGTTAAAGCGAGTCTCCGAGGGCCATTTCCTAGCAAACTGCAGAACCCAGGACTGTCTACCTTGAATTTGTCACCCATATTTGAGAGCAGTGCTATTCAAACTGCATGTTGCAGTCCATTTGAAAATTCCATTTTAGAGATTCCTTTAATGGATTAGCAGGTTGTCTGGATGGCCTCTGTGATTCTGGAAGTCTCTAGGAGAAAAATAGACAACTCAGTCAGCTAAGTCATGAAGACCCACCATGTGGGTCACTGCGCTCTCCTATTTATGGGAGTTTGCCAAAGCATTTTCAGCCCAGCATTTTCTTCAACTCAGCACTGGGTGAAAATTAGTGCTCAGAGAACATGGTCATCTGCTGACATCTTCATGACTCAGAGTAACCGTTTCTCACCCAGGACAAAGTGTGAGAAACAGACACAGCCCTTCCCAGCACACTGCAAACCACAAGGCCTTGTGTTTGGTCCATCTTGTGAAGAACGGAGAAGGTGGGCTCACCTCAAGAACCTGCTTTCTCAGTCTGTGAGCCTGAGACCACCTGCATCAGAATGTACCTTGTGAGAAGTCAGATTCTAGGTCCTTACTGCCAACCTGCTGAATCAGACAACTCTATGGGGAGGAGGCTGGGAATCGCCATTTATACTAGTCCCTTGGGTGATTCTTAAGTTTGCCAAAGCTGCAAGAGCCATTCCCTCCCAGTGGGCTTGGCATGGAGCATGGGATCCTCAAGCCTCATCCAGGACCCCTAGCTCAGAAGTAGCCTACTGACATGTTTAGAAAAAGACTTTACATGTGTTGTTGTTAAGTACAGTCAAGTCTGCCCAACTCGTAGCAACCCTAGATAGGATTTCTGAGGCTGTAAATCTTTTGAGAGCAGAAAGCCTAATCTTTTGCCCAAGGAGCGGCTGGTGGGCTTGAACCACTGACCTGGTGGTTTGCAGCCCACTGGCACCATGAGTTATGGTAGTACACAGTGAGACTGTATGTGTTTAATGGCTTCATTTTGAACTGCTCATCTTTTGTTTTTGTAACCTGATGGTTGACAGAAGACAAAACCAGGCGAACAACTGTTGTAGCCTGTGAACCGCACCTGGGCAAAGCAAGGCCTACGAGGCTGCAACTATTCCTATGACCTGTGCTTATCTGGATGGCGGATTACTGAGCACACGGGGCGGCTCCGTGCTAGACTAGGAAGGTGTCGCTCTCTGGGTAGCAGCCACCCCTCACCTTCTCTTCCCTGCCAAGCAGGTGTGAAGCTCCCACAGATGCAGTCACCTGGTCACTCCTGAGTGATGGGAGCCCCGGCCGTGCAAGGCAAGGTGGAGTAGCTCCATCTGAGGACCAAGTATTTCTCCTTGGCCCTCCTTCCAGCATGGGGCCACCAACCACACCGGGGTGATGGCCCCTTTTACAAGCCAGGGCAGGAGTCAGGTCTAACTCCTCACAGACCAGGTGTGGAGCTGCATCCTATTTCAACACCTGAGTGCAATTGGAGTGTTGGGGGAGGACCACCAAGTTTCTACCACCTCACTAGGATCCTCACGGTTGGAGACCGCAGTGCATGGTCATGTTCCTCAGGGAGCGTGCCTTTCACTCCACTAACCAGTATTGCTTTTCTCTCCTCTTCCATCTCATTGCAGGACACAACGGGCTGGTAGCTGTGAGTACCACCTCCTCCCTGGCCCTGTATTACCCCTGGGCATGTGGCTCTCAGCAGTTTAGGGAGGGGTGTGAGGAAGGGCAGAGTGACCACACCAGGGGAGAAGCCAAAGGCAGAGGAGTCCAGTTCAAGAGAATCCAGGCACTCCCTCTCCTCTCCTTTCCCCATGACCTCTGAGAGAGCTGGGGAGCTTTCAGGAGAAAGATGGTAGGAAAATGGGAATGCATGTATCTGACATAGCTTTGTCATCGACATGTTGGAGCCTGGGTATCGGGAATGAGCTTGGGGGTGTGTGTGGGGGGGTGCTGACTTTCCATCATGAGCAGTCCTTGTGTGTCCCCCAGCTAGATCCAGGCCGTGTACCCACCAGACTACACAGTAGTTGTACAGTCCGAAGTGTACCCAAGAGACAGTGTGTAGAGGCCCTGAAGCTGAGCTAGCCACAGTCCATGTGGCCCTAAGAGGCCAGAACATGTGCTTGAGGGTGTTCAAGACCACTGAACAAACATGGATCATCTGCCCGAAGTAATAGCTGTACTAGAATTTCAATGTAGAGAGACACAGGGGAGCAGTATAGGATTGCTGAGGGACTTGTATTAAATCTGAACGCGTTACCTGGTTATTAATTTTACTTGAAAATGTGACAGGGAAAGTTATGTAACTCAACCCATCAGTAATTTAAAACATTGATTCTGTGTTAATATAAACATGAGTTCATCTCTCAACTCCACCACTTTCTGTCTATAAAGGGTCAGGCCAATCACTTTACCTCTCTGCCCCCAGTGAAGTGAGAATAATAACTTAGTAATAACACCCATGTCACAGAGCTGTTGTGAAGGTCAGATAGTGACTCCAGGGACCAGGCACAGAAAGCTTTACCCAAAGGGTGGTTGTTAGCAACTTCGGAACTTTCCAACCCCGGGAAGGCCCTTCAGCCGAAGACCACCAGGAACACACTTGTAGTTAAACGCGGTATTCTGGACCTACTACTCGAGGGAGAACTCACTGGAAGCTAAAGGTGCCTCTAAAAGAGGGTGCTAGAAAGAACTGATTGTAGGGTTGGGCTCTGGTTGGGTGATTTGAGGGAGGTTCTGAGGAAACAGGTTCGCTTTAGCTTGGATGCTGCCAGAAAGCTGGGGCAACTCTACTACTGGGTATTTCAATAAATCTTGGAGCTCTGGTAGCTTAGTGGTTACGAATCAGGCTGCTAACCTCAGGGTCAGCAGTTCAAAACTACCAGCGGTTCCACGGGAGAAAGATGAGGCTTTCTGCTCCCATAAAGATGTGCAGTCTCTGTGAGTTGGAACTGACTCCACTGTGCACTATTGATTCTGGGATAGGATGAGGATAGCTGTAATTGGTAAAGAAGTAGCACTTGCTCGTTTTGGCCAAGTGGAGGCGTGTTTGGTATTTTGTAGGTGGCACAGCGACCTTGATTTTATTTGTGCAGAGACACAGTTGCAAGAAGGCCTTGCTCTGCCTCATTTCATCATGGTTGCTGAGTGGCCTTGTCTGAGGCTGGTGCTCTAGGAGATTGTGGAAATTTCCAAGAATGTTAAGAGCCACCCTTTGTGCAAAGCTTTATGTGTCTGGTCCTTGTCTGAGAGGAGAATAACGTGGTTGAGCTCTGGGTGCCAGGACAGCTTCCGAATGGCATGGAATGCAATGTTTCCTTTCTCATTCTCACGAGGAAACCTTAGAAATGTAGAGCCCGCATTCAGATTGCCTGGGTTCAATCCCCAGCACCTCTGCTCATCGGCTCTATAAGCCCAAGGGTTGCTGTTAACCTCACTGAGCCTTGGTTTCCTCATCTGTAGAATGGGAAGAATCATTGATTGTGGCTACTTCCAGGATGACTGAGTGTGTTAACTGAGATGATGCCCACCCAGCATCTGGCACATAGTTGTCAAGTGAAAACCCACTGCCACTGAGTCGATTCTGGCTCATAGCGACCCTGTACAGGGCTTCCGAGGCTGTAAATCTTTAAAGAAGCAGAAAACCTCATCTTTCTCCCGAGGAGTGACTGATGGGTTTGAACTGCCAACCTTGTGGTTAGCAGCCCAGTACTGATTCTGCAGCACCACCAGGGTGAAGTGAATTATTAAAACAACACCTGGCGTATAAACCATACTGTCCTGTCGTCACACCGCCGGTGGTGGAAGAAGCAGCACTTCCAGTCTGCAGATTCATGAGTAGTGAAGTTCCATGAGTACTTACTGATTTCCCACTAAGTGCAGGAGAAGACTTAATGAAAACTCCTGCATCATGTGTTCCCCAAAACAAAGTTGTGTTACAATTACATAGCTTCATGTATTGAGTTGCAGTTGGTTCCGTGGTAACTAACCCCCCTTCCTCCCTCTCTCCCTCAATATATTTCCTATGACGCAGGTTGAGTAGGAAGTATTACCTTCATCCCTATTTTTGCACATAAGGAAACAGAGGCCAGGAGGATTGGGTATGGAGAAGGAGGTGTGAGGAATTGAACCTGGACAGTCTGGCTCAGTGGCACTTACAAGCTCAGCCTCTCTATGCTGCCTCTTGCTGGAGAGATGGCATCCTAGGTTCAGGGTTGGACCAGGCTGTTCAAGGGGAAAGCCCACCTTCAGCAGAGGAGAGGACATTTGAGATAAATCTTAGCAGGAGTCTGGGAGGAAATTAAAGAGAAGCGAAGGAATAGTGTTCCCAGAGTGTGAACAGCATGAGCCAAGGAGCAGCACACTGGCTCTGTGGTGAGAACCCTAAGACTCCATGTCAATCCCAGGGGTCTAGAACTTTCCAGAGGGATGAAGGCAGGGCCCTGTGTGTCCCTCCCCCAGGCAGCCTACCTGCAGAGACTGGGCGTGAACACGGTGGTCTTCGAGAGGCGCCACGTGATCGGGGGTGCAGCTGTCACCGAGGAGATCATCCCAGGTGAGCCCGAGGGGTGGACAGGATGTGCCCCTAGTTGACCACTGGTGACCATCGTCATCTGATTTGGTTTCAGGGTTTAAGTTCTCCCGAGCGTCCTACCTCCTCAGCCTCCTGAGGCCACAGATTTACAGAGATCTGGAGTTGAAGGTAAAGCCCTCCCCAGCCCAAGGTGGGGACAGTTCCATCTTCTCCACACTGAGGGTCTGTCTGTCTTCTGTCCTGAAGGTTTGTCTGTTCTACATAGATTTCTTGGTGCACAGATAGAATTTGGTCCAACTACTCTGGTAGCGTAGTGGTTACGAATCGGGCTGCGAACCTTAAGGTCAGCGGTTCGAAACTACCAGCCGCTCCGCGGGAGAAAGATGAGGTTTTTTACTCCCGTAAAGATTTACACCCTTGGAAACCCTGTACAGGGTCGCTATGGGTCGGAACCGACTCGACGGCACTTAACAACAACAACAACAACAACTCCTTGTCTTAAAACTCGAGAAATTTCACATAAAACTCGGGCTTCTCTTGACCAATGAGGTTCGTTTACACCAGACCCACACAGCTGCACTTGGCTGAGACTGAGAGGCCTCCCCCTAATGAGACAGGAACCTCAAGCTCAGCCAGGTCTCCACCTTGTTCCTTGAAGCTACCTGCCCTGGAGCATATGAGTTTACAGAGCTGCTTTAGGACATGGGCCTCTTTTCTACCTCCACTACCCTTCAGCTCCTATTACTTTAGATGTAGCTTTGCTCCTGGGCTATTTTGAGGGGACACTGAGACCTCTTTACCTGCCCTTTGTTTGTTGTTGTTGTTAAGCATGATTGAATCAATTCCAATTCATAGTGACCCTGAATAGGGTTTCCAAGGAGCAGTTTGTGGGTTTGAACCACCTGTTTTGCAGCTAACTTAGCCTGCTCCACCACACCTGGACTCCTGCCCTTTGTTTACTTCTCTTAAACCAGTTTAACCTTTGTCCGAAGCTTTGCTCAACTCTACCCCAACCCTTTCAGATTCCTTCCACCCCTCACTGCCTCTTTTAAAAATACCATCACCACAATGCTGAGCCAATCTATCTTCTACCTGCTTCTACCTCACCAAACTCTCAGAGAAAAAGGCCCTTTGTGCCATTGGTAAAGCAGCTGCATTTGACCACTGTTCACAGCTCTCTGGCTGCCCTAAATGGTTCACAGAGAAGCTCTCAGAGCTGAGGCGCTACGGAATTCACTAAGGAAATGATTCTCAGAGCCACTGAGACACACACACAGATGTATCTGTGCTGCCAGATCAAGACCAGGAGAGGTCTCGGGTCTTAAATCCTCACCAGACTCCAACTGAAGGCAGTCTGCAAATACAGCGATCATACATAGCAGCAGGAATGGGTGTGTGTGTGTGTGTGTGATTGGACAAACACAACTTATAAAAACAGCAATCAATCACAAAACAGAGATTTGATGTGATTGTTCTTATAATTAAACAAGTTGCTTACTATTTGTCCTAGGGCGCTAGAAGTTCCCAAGAGAATTGGGTGTATGACTTCGGGCTGCATTAATAGCAGCTGGGTGCTAAACTCAAGGGAGAAAACAGTCCCTCTGTGGATGTAGACCCATAACCCCACTGGGAGAAGGGACACCTTATTTTAGCAGGACATGGATGGCCCGAGGGCATCTACAGAAAGCCTGCTAAACTCTTTCTGGAATATTCTGTTTCCAACGTAACAGTACAGAGCATCTGTTTGACCAGTGTTGCACCTTGGGCTAAGAGCTCTGTTCTATCACACTTGATCCTTGGCCCAACCCCGGGAGACAAGACCGTTCTGTCTCCAGTTTTATGAGGAGAGAACTGAGACTCAGAGGTTAAAAGTTCACAGAGGTAGAAAAGGACAGAATTTTCCATGTCCAGCTGAGTCCTAGCCTTATTCTTGAGCAGCATGGCTGGCTGCCTCCGGCTCTGTGATAGCAGGTCACTCAGACATGGCAATTTGCCATGAACGCGGTCACCAGTCACGAGCCCACGGCACCCACTCAGAGCCCGCTCAGTGGCTGGGATGACAGGCTCTGGAACCTGACGGCCAGCCTGGGAATTCCTGCTCTACCCTTTACCACTTACGGGTCTTTGAGAGTTTCTGAGCCTCATCTTCCTCATCTGTACAATGGGGGTGGTAATCGTCTCTACCTCATAAGCCTATTGTGATGGCTAATGATAGTACATTTGACAACCACAGTGTCTGGTATATGTTGCTTGTTGCTAAGTGCTGTTGAGTCGATTCCAACCCATAGCAACCCTGTATAGGGTTTCTGAGGAGCAGTTGGTGAGCTTGAACTGCCGACCTTGCTGTTCAAACGGCTTTGCAGTCTGGAGCATTAACCCACAGCGCCACACCAGGACTAAGTGTCGTCAAGTCAGTTCCGACTCATAGTGATCCTGTATAGGAGTTTCCAAGGAGTGGCTGGTAGATTTGAACTGCCAACTTGGTAGTGAGCAGTCTAGTGCTTTTCCTACAGTGTCACACCAGGACTTCACTGAGATTAGTAGTTGAACGCACAAAGTATGCAGTAGGCGGGGGGCCTGTCTGCAGCAAGGCCTTTACTTATTCAGTCAACAAACACTGGTTACATCGTATGTAGACATTGGGGATACAGCAGTGAGCAAAATAGGCAGTTGACCTCAAGAGCTACACTCTATTTGAGAGAGATTTAAAAATATATAATCTGCAATGATTCCCACGGTGGCAGCGGTTTGGAAAAAAATAAAGTAGGATGAAGAGGCCAGGGAGTGCTAGGGAAAGTGGAGCTGAGGTCTCCTTATTAGGCAGCATTTAGCCAGAGACCCCAAGGAAGTGAGTGGGTGGTCCATGTGTGGAAATAACTCCCTAGTCTGGGATAGCATTAAGTCTTATTTGTGGAGGTAGCAGGTCCTTTTTATTTCTTCCATACCTCCTTTGAAAGAGTTGCTCTGCTCTTGGAAAGTCCTGTAGGTTTGTGAAAATTTGTAAATCAAATCATATTTTAAATGCACCAAGAGAACTTCTCATTTAAAGTGACCCTCAGGTAAATGTGTCTCAAAGTAAACCAAGTGGGTTTTTTTTGCAATGTAAATAATGCATCTACCTTGTAAGTATGGATTTTCACAAAACAATTGCTTTATTGTGTCTTCCTAAGTTTTCATTATTTATTTCTGAAGCGGGGCACTTATGGGCTGGTGCGTAAGAGCTAGTTCTATGGAGTCATAGAGATGTAGTTTGGAAACTAGATTCCTGGTCTAACGTGACCTTGGAGGTTTAAATTCCCTGGGCCTCAGGGTTTGTAGTGCTACAATGAGGATTCTAGGATGAAGGAGTTTCAAAAAAATTGTGGAAAAATATAATTGAAAGATAAGACTTTTTCTACAATTTTTTTTTGAAAACTCTTTGCCTCTCCCAGAGTTGCTGTGAGGCTTCAAATAGGTAATAGTTATAAACTATTAGCACAGTGCCTGGCATGTGGCAAGCATTACACTGAATTGCATTGCACTGCATGGTGTATCATAGAAGATGTGGGCAAGAGAACTTTTTATAAACCTATATTGAAAAAACAAAAAGAATCAGGACCACATACCTTGGGAACCTGCACATAGATTCCTAAACGCTCACACGGATAAGGATTGAGAGCAGAGGCCACACATCCCTGAAACTGTTACCTGTGCTGTTTGTGTTCTGCAGAAACATGGGCTGAGGTTGCATCTTCGAAACCCCTACTCCTTCACCCCTATGCTGGAAGAAGGCACAGTGGGCAAGGTGCCCAGGTCCCTTCTGCTGGGCACAGACATGGCAGAAAACCAGAAGCAGATTGCCCAGTTCTCCCAGAAGGATGTCCAGGTAAGGGAAGCAGCCATAATTCCTTCTCCCCTCACAAGCCCGGAGGTGGCTCCTGAATGAAGCCAGTCCTGGCTAGAATTGTCCTAGAACTTGAGGGCTTGGACAGGCCACACCATCTGCCCTATGAGGGTCCAGTCTGTGCTAGTCTTTGATCTCAGGTACTGCAAAGAGAAGGAGATGGAGAATGAATGAGAAGGAATTTTGGCAGTAGACATGTCTAGATGAGTCGCTGATTGATATGCCGACATACCTCGTTCTATCCCGCTTCCCAGACACTGCGTTTTCACAAATGGAAGGTTTGCGGGAACCTTGCTTTGAGCAAGATCTGTCGTTGTCATTTTTCCAAAAGCATGTGCTCAGTCCATGTTTTCTCACATTTTGGTAATTTTCACAATATTTCAGATTTTTTCATAAAGCTATTATAAACTTAATGGACTATAGTATAGTGTAAACAACTTTTATATGCACTGGGAGGTTTAAAATGTATGTAACTTACTTTATTGTGATATTTGCTTTATTGCTGTGGTCTGGAACCATCCCCATAATATCTCCAAAGTATACTTGTAATGGGAGCACAGTGGCTCCATATGGTAAGCACTGGACTTGAACCACAGGGTCTGTGATTTGAGCCTGCCAGCGGCTTCATACGAGAAAGATGCAGCTTTCTGCTCCCATGAAGATTTAAAGCCTCAGAAACTCTATAGAGCATCTCTGTGAGTCAGAATCAATTCAATGGCACTTAATAACAACTACATATCTGTGACCAATTTTGCAGCTACAGAAAGATTCTTTGAATGATTATTTCTTACACCAAGATTGAATAAAGCCAAAGGCAGAGCGTGAAGGTGTGGCTTGGTGGAGACATTGTTATAATCACTTAGGTTTTTGCTGAGGAATTGACGGAGGATAACTTGGATGTTGCAAGGAGGCTAATGCAGGTGCTCACTCATCTATGCCAAGAAATTTACCAGATAGCTACTGGCCAACTGATTGTAAGAGATCCATATTTGTACCCATTCCAATGGAATTTGTACCCAATAGAATGCAGAAATCATCGAACAGTATCATTAACTCAGAAAGTAAAATTTTGTTGGAAGTAATTCAAAAATGGTTACAGCAGTGTATCAACATGGAACTGCCAGGCATTCAGAAGAGGGAGTAGAATGAGGGATATCATTGCTGATGTCAGATGGATCTTGGCTGAAAAAAAAAAAAAAACCAGAAAGATGTTTAATTGTGCTTTATTGAATTTGCAAAGGCATTTGACTCTGTGGATTATAACAAAGTATGGAATACATTTTGAAGAATGGGAATTCCAGAACTCTAAATTCTGTTCTTGAGGAACCTACCTGCACATTGACTAAGAAGACATCATTAGGACAGAACAAGGGAATACCGAATGGTTTAAAATCGGGAAAGGTGTGTACCAGGATTGTACCCGTTCACCATAGTTATTCCATCTGTATGATGAACAAATCATCTGAGAAACTGGATCATGTGAAGAATGAGATAGAGTAATACAGTGGCAGCAACAGTGGGCTCAAACCTAACAATTGAGGATGATGCAGGACCATGTAGTATTTCGTTTTGTTGTGCATGGGGTCACTATGAGTCAGAAATGATTGGACAGCACCTAACAACAACAGGTTTGTCAGACTATGATTTTACATGTGGCTGTGATGCTGGAAGCTATGTCACTGGCATTTCAAACACCAGCAGGGTCACCATAGTGGACAGGTTCCATCAGAGCTTCCACACAAAGAGAGACTAGGAAGAAAGATCTGGCAAGTCATTTCAAAAATTAGCCAGTGAAAACTCGGTGGATTAAAACAGAATACTGTCCAACATAATGCTGGAAGGTGAGCACCCGTGGCTTGGAAAGTGCTTAAAATACACAGCGGCCAAAGCAACCAACCATTGTGAAGACAGCATAGGAATGAGCAGTGCTTTATCTAGTCTTACATGAAGTCGCCGTGAGTTGGAAGCAACTCACTAGCAACTTGTTTGTATAATCCATCCACGTTGCTTGTTGGGCAGGACCTAGAGAACCAAGGAGCTCTGGTAGCATAGTGGTTACCAATTGGGCTGCGAACCTTAAGGTCAGCAGTTTGAAACCGCCAGCCGCTTTGCAGGAGAAAGATGAGGCTTTATACTCCCGTCAAGATTTACAGCCTTGGAAACCCTGTACAGGGTCGCTATTGACTCGATGGCACTTAACAACAACAAGAGAACCACAGATATGAACTTCTCTCTAACCAGCAGTTTCCAAACTTGACTAACAATCAGAATCACCGGAGAAAGGTTTGCCTTTTTCAAGTGCTCCTGTGATTCCTCTGTAGAAGGTAGGAACCTCTCTCCTCTAAACCCTGCCTGTCTCAGATGCTCTAAAGCAGGGGTGGGGAACATCCAGCCCACTGGCCATATAAAGCCCGCAAAATCATTGGTCTGGCAACTGTAGTTCCAGCCATCACGCTGTTGTTGTTACATATCCTCGAGTCAGTTCTGACACATAGCGACCCTGTATAGGATTTCTGAGGAGCGGCTGGTGAACTTGATCTGCCGACCATGAGGTTCAAACCGACCTTGCAGTCCAGCACATTAACCACCATCACATTGATGGTGGTGGTGTGCTGTGGAGTCGGTTCTGACTCATATCAACCCTGCATAGGGTTTCCGAGGCTATAAATCTTTACAGAAGCAGAAGCTTCATCTTTCTCCCGCGGAACCACTGGTCACCCTCAAGCCCCTGAGATTAGCAGCCTGACTCGTAACCACTGTTCTAGCAGAGCTCCTTCCCCATCACATTGCTATTGTTGTGCCATCAAGTCGGTTCCGACCCATAGAGACCCTGTATAGGGTTTCCAAGGAGCAGCTGGTGAGCTTGAACCACCAACCTTGCAGTTCAAACCAACTTTGCAGTCAGTGCATTAACCCACAGAGTCACACATTTGTTGTTGTTGTTGTTGTTGTTGTTAAGTACCGTGGAGTCAGTTCTGACTCATAGTGACCCTGCACAGGGTTTCCAAGGCTGTATATCATTACGGAAGCAGAAAGCCTCATCTTTCTCCCAGTAATTCCAAACTGCCGAACTTGAGGTTAGCAGCCCAATTCATAACCACTACGCTACCAGAGCTCTTTGCATTGTTGTTGTTGTTGTTATGTGCCGTGGAGTCAGTTCCGACTCATAACGACACTGTACAGGGTTTCCGAGGCTGTAAATCTTTATGGGAGCAGCAAGCCTCATCTTTCTCCTGCGGAGCAGCTGGTAGTTTCAAACTTCTGACCTTGAGGTTTGCAGCCCAATTTGTAACCACTACGTTACCAGAGCCCCTTCACCCCTGCTCTGCAGAGTACTGGCTGTACCCTGGGTGCTAGAAACCACGTGAGCAGAAGACAGAAGTCACATCCCAGTGACGGATTCCTGGTTTCATCTTTACACTGTGTCGATGTTACTGAGAAGACATGCTTCAGAGAAAGCCTCTGAACTTCATTTTGCCAAGGCTTCTTGAGAATACAAACTTCAATGAGCAACTCTCCTTCTTGGAGCACTTACTGAAATCCCGTGGGAATGTCAAAGCCCCAGATGACCCCGAAGTTCAAAGGGAGGAGCCTCCATTAGCACAGGCTGGGTGCCCACACTTGTTCCACCAAGGGAAGGAAGTGGGGTGCTCAGCAACCAGCTCAGGGATGACGGGTCTGGGAAATGACTTATGTTGTGGGAGCCTGCAGGGCGAGGGGATGTGGGCTTCTGTTACTGTCTGTCACTACAGATGACAAAAGGACAAGTGAGGTTTGCAGATGTGAAGTGTGGGATCTGGGACACATGGGAAGGGACTGTTTCTTCCAGGAATATGTGCAAAGACATGGTTCTATGTATAGTTCATCACAGAGACCACACCCAGGTCAGTTTTCTATGAGTGACAACTTGTCCCTGTCCCACCTCAGGTGTCTTCCATCACCCATGGTCTCTCTGACCTCCCCTGATGCACACAGACCTAGAACCAGGAGTGACGGCAGAGCCAGGTTGAGCCACGGCTGGGAACCCTCCAGGCCCGTTGAGGGTGGCAGGTCACAAACAGATCTCTATGCCGTACCCTGCGGGGTTCTGACTCAGAACTCTATTCCAGGCCTTTCCCAGGTATGAGGAGTTCATGAATCGCTTGGCATCAGCCATTGACCCTCTGTTGGACACAGCCCCAGTGGATGTGGGGGCCTTCCAGCGTGGCTCCCTGCTGCAAAGACTCAAATTACTCCCCACCCTCAAGCCCCTACTGCAGGCAGGTGAGTCCAAAGTGCAGGCCTCAGCTGTGACCTCTGGAGCAGGCTGGGCCCATTTGCTCAGTGACTGGACCTAAGACTGAATCTTCAAGACAGCCAGCCAACTGTGGTCCATTAGTCAGCGTGTATTAGAAAGGTCTTGACCTGGGAGCCTTAGAATAAAGACTGGATAGAGGCTTAGATGCAAGTCTGTAGTTTATTTGGAAAGGTGACCCCTGGGCACAGAAATGTGGGAGCAGTGCCCTGGGAAGCAGGGGTATAAATACCAAGGTGTGTTCCTATATGAACTGCCGCTGTGGTCGATGAATGGGGCTGGGCCCTCTGAGAAGCCTTATGCAATGCATTTCAGGACCATTTCCAGGAAAAGAAAGAGGGGAACATGTCTCCACGAGGTTCTGTGCCCCTCTAGTCAAGGAGTCCTGGTGTGGAGCTGTAGAGGAGCAGTGGACCGCAAGGTCGGTTTGGACTACAAGTTCATCAGCCATTACTCAGAAACCATATACAGGGTCACTATGAGTCTGAACCGACTAGAGGGCACTTAACAACAAGAAGTCAAGGGTTATCCCCAGGGGCATTAATTCTCATACTGTGAGTGCCAGTGGGTTCCCAGGGCTCCTGGGGGTGTCCTATCATGGTGCCAAAGACCCCAAAGTGAGGGATTGTGTGGAGCAGGACAAAGCCTGCGTGGAAGACAGGGGCCTAGAGAATTTGAAGAGATACCGCATACAAAGAAGATGCTAAATCTGAGCTCAGTGAGAAAGAGTTTTCTGATTAATTAGTGATGTCTGCCACAAATCTGGGAAGGGAGAGTTCTCTGATCACTAAGTGATGTCTGCCATAGATTTGGGAAGGGCAGTTTCAGCAAGTATTCCTCTAGAGGATACAGACCAGTTTCACTTCTACACTCTAGAAAAATACAGAATCAGTTCTATGTGGTCATAACATTTCTCCATAACAAACAATGATAAAATTCCAGTGGCTTACAAAATAAACATTTATTTCACACATGTCTGCGTGGTTCAGCTGAGCCCTGCTGGCCTCAGCTGATCTGGTCTGTTCTCACGCCTGTCTATGGTGAGGCAGATTAGCTGGGGCAGCTCAGCTGTAAACACTAATGTCCTCATCTTGAAAGCAGGCTAGTCCAGGGTAGAAGCACAGCGGGAAAGACCATGCACAGGTAGTTCAAGCCTCTGCTTGCATCTCATCTGCAAATATTTCCTTAGCCAAGCTAGTCAAGACTCACGGATGAGCCCAGGGTCAAGGTTAAGGGTGAGAGACACTGCAGAGTTGCATGGCATAGGAGTGAGTATGGAAGGGATGAAGATTCACAGCCCAAGAAATCACAAATGTCCAAAGTAGGCATTGCCTCTCAGGTTAGCAGGGAAAAACCCAAGGAGATTCATACAATAAACGTTTATTGAGCAGCTGCTATGTGCCTCACACTAAGCTAGGCACTAGCACAACAATGACTAGGGATGAGAATGGTACCTGTCTTCAAGGTTTTACTGTCCAGTGACACTCTGAGATGGTCAGAATCGGCATCAGAGGAATGGGTTAGCAAAGCCGTCTACCTCCCAGGGTCTGAACCTTAGAGAGTTCAAAATAAGGGAGTAAAATACAAGTTCAAATGTGTCCAAAGAGAACCAGATGTCATCAAGTCAATTCCAATGCATGGCGACTCCATGCATGTCTGAACAGAACTGTGCTCCATAGGACTTTAATTGGCAGATTTTTCAAAGTAGATTGCCGGGTCTTTCTTATGAGGCACCTCTGGGTGGATGCAACCTTTCAATTAGGAGCCAAGGACAGTTACCATTTGCACCACCCAGGGACTCACAAAAAAATAACTCTTAACAGCTACAATATAGTAAATGCCTATTGCAAATACTTTACAGATCTCATTTAATCCTCACAAAAGTGCTATGGGGAAATCCCATATTACTCCTATTTTACAGATCAGAAGGTAGGTTTAGAAACATTAAAAACATGCCCAAGTCTTTCAGTTAGTAAAAGCTGCATTTATTATGGCAAGCTCCCTCCCCCCCATCACAAATTCCCCGAGCCTCCCCCTACTCTTATCCACAGGGACCAAATGCCAGTGCTTCCTTAGAACTCAGCTCAGTTTTTGTTTTGGGGGTCCTCTCTTTCAGGCCTTACCCTGGGAGCCCAGCTTCCCCAGTATTACCAGGTCCTCACAGCACCCATTATGAAGGTGAGTGGCCCCCAGCCTCAGGCCAACAGTGTGGAGGGAGGGTGTGCCCCGAGGCTCCTGAGTCTCCCCTCTGCTCTTTTGCGGCCCCAGGTGCTGGATCACTGGTTTGAGTCAGAGCCTCTAAAAGCCACTCTTGCAACTGATGCTGTGATTGGAGCCATGACCAGCCCACACACACCTGGTAGTGGGTGAGTCAGGGGACAGGCCCAGCAGCTGGAGAAGAGAGGTACAGGGAAGCTTGAGGGTCAGGCATGAAAACACCCCACCTACAGCCACAACAACACCTGCCATTTTCTGAGCTCCCAACAAAGGGCCAGGCCAAGCACTTCATAGACCACTGAGGAACCCTCAAAAGAGCACTGTGGAGCTGTGGTTCAGAGAAGGGAAGCATCTTGCTCCAAGTCACACAACTAGTAAGTGGCAGAGCTGACTTCTAGTCCAAGTTGTCTGACTCCCAAAAGTCTTCCTCCTTAGCCACCATCCCCTGTAGTTGTTAGGTGCCTTGTAATTGATTGCAACTCATCATGAACCCATATCACAGAGTAGAGTTGACCCAGAGGGCTTCCTAAACTGTAATCTTTACAGAAATAGACTGCCAGGACTGTCTCCTGTGGACTCGCTGAGTGGATTCAGTCCACCAACCTTCCAGTTAGCAGCTGAGTGCTTAACATAGGCCGCTGTCTCTCACTTTAATGTCCCAACTCTAATGCCTTCTTCCCGCACTGCCTTTCTCCCCTCCTCCTCTTCACTTCTGGCTTTCGTGCATCTCTTTCCCTCCTATGACTCCCTCTTGTCCCTTCCTCCTGTCTGTCCTTTCCCAGGAAAAGCTCAGGCACACATGCACTCTTTTGTGTGGGTGCAGGAAGCTGCTTTTCTCTTTGTGGGTGAGGGTGTACTGACAGTGCAGGCCGAGAGGGGGCAGTCAGGTACAACCAAGTCTGTGGCTGTGGTGTGAGTTAATGAGCCCTTTCGAGCTGGAATGAGGACTGTGTGCATGTGTGTGGGGGTTTGTGGGTGTGTGTGCGTGCATGCTGGGATGGAGGATGCTGCCAAGTATTGGGCCATCTCCAGGGCACCAGAAGATGCAGCTCAAAGCTGTCAACGTGGCTTTTCCCAGGATGAGAGCATCCCCTGGAAGTGTCTTTTCGATATACAGGAAGCCAGCCTCAAATTCCCGTCTTAGGGAAGGACCACTGAGAGTCAGCACTCTTGGCCAAGCTCCGAGATGAGCCAGCCTTTCCTGATCTTCAGCGAGGCCGCCTGTCCTTTTCCCTTAGACTCTCTGGGAGGCTTACCACCCAGCTTGTGAAATGTTCCTTCAGGGCCAGGTGCTGCATTCACCTGGGCAAAGTGCACAGAAGAAACCCTAAAGGGAGAGGCAGACAGCCCTGATAGGATACTGAAGAGTGGGAGTTTTGTGATAGAGGAAACCTCCATGAGGAAGGGCTATCCTGAGACCTGAAGGACAAGTAGGAATTAGCTCAACAAAACTTGAAGAAGGGAGGGAGGGGTTCCAGGCAGATGGAAGAGTATGTGCAAATGCTCGGAGGTGAGCGACTAGGTGGTCCACTCAAAGGACCAGAGGCTATGGGGTCCCAGCGAGAGAATGATGACAGATGAGGCTGGCCTGCTAGGAGCCTGGCAGTTACCCCCCAGAGCAGCAATAAGCCAGTGATGGTTTTTAAAAGGGAAATAGCAGGCACATTGCTGGGGCTTATGAAGGGACTTCTGTGGGAAGACAGGGCTTCAGGGGACAGGTGGAAGAAGGTGGCCCATGAGCAGGCTGTCACTGCGGCAGTGTGAGGAAGAGCAGATGGGTGGAGCCAGGACTGAGGCAGCAGGGGGGGCTGGGTTAGCAGTATTTGATGGGCATACTTGACAGGACGTAGTTGGGGAGGGGAGAGAAAGAAGCCAGGCTGGTGCCTGGGGTTCTATTAGAAGCTGAAGGTGACATTCAGAAAGACAAGGAAGACTGAGGAAAAGGTGACAGATTTAAAGTACCCACCAAAACAATATCTGTGGGTAACTGGATATATAGGCTGGAGCTCAGGAGAGAGCTGGAGGTACAGGCTTGGCTTGTTGTTGGTAATAAAGCCACACACACATACATGATTGCATGGGGAGAGAAGGCGGAAAGGAAGAGCAAGGACTCTTAGAAGAGTCTGGAGTTCATTGAGGGATTTAGGAGAAGATACTGAACAAAGACAGGGAGAGGCTGAAGGTACAAGTTGTTAAGTTCTGACTCATAGCAATCTTGTATATGGCTTCCAAGGACCGGCTGGTGGGTTTGCACTGCCAACTTTGTTGTTAGCTGTTCAGTGCTTATCCTATAGTGCCACATCAGAACTCCAAAGGTACAAGACAGAAGGAGTATTTGCACCAGGAACTCTGGGGAGACGACTCCTCCTCTAGTCCCTGATTCTGACGGTCTCTCTCCAGATATGTGCTGCTGCACCACGTAATGGGGGGCCTGGAAGGGACACCAGGGGCCTGGGGCTATGTCCAGGGTGGCATGGGTGCCCTCTCAGACGCCATTGCACACTCAGCCACAGCACATGGAGCAAGTGTCTTCACCGACAAGGTGAGTGGCCTCAGATTGGCAGAGGTCCCAGGACAGAGCCAATTTCCTGATGAATAAGTGTCATTTCATGCAGTTCAGTCAGTTCCAACTCATAGCGACCCTGTAAAGGGTTTCCGGGGAGCTGCTGGTAGGTTTGTGATTAGCAGTCCAGTGCTTATCCTACAGCACTACTCCAGGATTCCTGATGAATAATGGGGGGGGGGGGATTTGGAATCAGGGACTTGCCCAAAGTGATGCTGTTAGAACTGAGCCCCCATTCTTCTTCCCCCTTCCTTGTCACCAGACACGGGGAACCACGTTTGGGTTGACCCTTCACATTGGAAGGAGTGAGTTCAAGGAGGAGTTGTAGTCTTTGGGGTGGGGCAGCCTGAGAGAAACACAGATGAGAGCATTCCCCCAGGGTCCAACCACATCCCCCTCTTTCTGGTGGCCTTAGATGGTGGCCAGGGTACAGGTGAGCAAGGAAGGCCGCGTCCAAGGGGTTGTGCTGCAGGATGGCACGGAGGTGAAGAGCAAAGTAGTGCTGTCCAACGCCTCACCTCAGATCACCTTCCTGAAGCTGACACCACAGGTGAGGCCTGGGGGCGGGGGTGGGGGGAGTCAGGTGGTAAAGGGGGAGAAGGGTCTACATCCTGGTTTATATCAGGTAGAGCAGGACTGGGCAGCCTGGAGGCAGCGGGCCCCGGCCAATTCCCTCCTCATTTGGGAATTTGAGCTCTTCTCTCTCTCTTCACCTACTGGGCAGGCAGCAAGCAGGGAAGGAGCCTCACAGGTGAGGAGAAATGTCCAGAATGGTGACATGACCTAGGCCATATGGCTGGTAATTGACCCAGCCAGAGGCAGAGCCCAGGTTTGACTTTCAATCCAGGGTCATTTCTACAACCTTTCTACTACCCTGACCTCTCCCCTTCACAGCTCTCATCCCACCACCTGTATCAATGTATTGTCACATTAAGGCTGTAACAGACAACACTTCAGCCATATACCCAGGAACACTGGCTTAGCACACACATCTGAAGGGTTTGCCTGCTCTTGGCTGGGTCCATCCACATGCCTGGGACCAGCCGACTGTGGCTGATCCTGGACAGTTCCTGATGGACTATCTGGGCCACTGTGCTCTGTGCTGCATGTCTCTCCTCCTCCAGCCGGTGGTCCAGGCAGAGGGTAAAGACCGCCAGCTCAGCCAGGAAAGTACTTTCCATGCCTGTGTCCATCGGATCCACTAACAGTGACCAAAGCAAGCCTCATGGCAGAGCTAAGTAAGAGGAAGGCATTATCAACTTATACAGAAATGGAGTGTTGGTTCCGATGGGTGAGGATCTGGGGAGATGGTTGCTATTGATTTGAGTCCTGGTGTGGTGCTGTACGATCAGCCCTGGACTGCTAACCATAAAGCTGGTTCAAACCCACCAGCTGCTCATTGGAAACCATATTCAGGGTCACTATGAGTCAGAACTGACTCAATGGCACTTAACAACAACATCTTCTGTCTCCCCAACATGTAATATGTATCTAGCACAGACTTACCATTGTTGGGGCAAGGCACCATTTTTTTCTGAGTGATTCTACCAACAAAATTCAACATACATACATCAGTGCAAAGCATCTTACAGCAATTCTGACCTCCCAGACTTCCAAAGACCTGTTCAGGTAATCCTGACTCCAAGTGCTTAGAGGAAGAAGCTGATCCCATGTGTGTCAGAGCAGACCTGGGCTGTATAGGGTTTTTGATGGCTGCTTTTTCAGAAGTCAGTCTTCCAAGGCACCTCTGAATATTCAAGCTTCCAATCGCTCTGTTAGCAGCCAAGTATGTTAACCATCTGCAGCACCCAGATGAAGAGAAAGGAGGCTTGCCAATTCCTAGCCTTCGTCCAGAGCAGTAGGGAGATGGCAGCAGAGCTCAGTAGTAAGGGGTGGTTAGTGTTGAGTGGGACATCCAGAAAGGCTTCATGGAGGAGGTGGTTTGGGCTGAGGGAGCACATCAGCATCTCAGGCCTTTCACAGCAGCTTCCTCTTCCAGGAGTGGCTTCCTGAGGAGTTTGTAGGGAGAATCGCTCAGCTGGACACCCAGTCACCTGTTACCAAGATCAATGGTGAGAACACACCTGGATTGTAGCACTATCTGTTGACATTATATAAGTGGCCTACATCCACTCCACCTCCTGCCTCCAGCCTGCTTTCCAGGCTTTTTCTTCCCAGTCCACCACTCGGCTGAGCCAGGTGGTGAGTGTAGAGGGAGGACCCTGGGGGTCGTGGCCCTGACCTTCCTCTCTATCCCTCAGTGGCTGTCAACAGGCTGCCCAGCTTCCTGGCCATGCCCAATGCCCCCGGGGACCAGCCACTGCCCCATCACCAGTGCTCCATCCACCTCAACTGTGAAGACACCAACCTCCTCCATCAGGCCTTCGAGGACGCCAGGGCTGGCCTTCCTTCCCACAGGTATGTGTGCTAGCTCCCCTGGATGGGCCTGGGCTGTGTGCGTGTGGTGGTGGTGGCGGGGGGCGGTCATGGATGCCCTGACACATCAGGGATGGGCCACTTCTTCCTGATCATACACACCCACATAATTTGGGGTCTGCCTGAGCCCACACCTCAATTCTAAGGATAGGAAACACATTCCAGGCAACAAGTCTGTAGACCAAGACAGGTAGGGGACAGTGATGTCATGCTCAGGGAAGCGTGCCAGGTCCCAGGAAGGGACAAGCAGTGCAGAGAAGCCACGCTGGCATCTGGGAAGAAGGGACGATGTAGGGGGATTCTGGAGTGTGCCTCTTTCCAGACTGGTGTTAGGAAATGTCTTCAGTGCCAGGCTTTGTGCTGCGTGTGGATTGGGCGAGTGGGGACTGGCATGAAACGCACAGGAAGCTTACAGGTGTTGCCAAACATGCCACGGGAATTCTCCTAAACTTCTAGCAAGGAGTCGCAGTTTTGGGTGACGTGACAGAGACGTAAGACATGAACAAGACAACAGGAGTGTGAGAAATCAAGTTTACTAGAAAGTGAAAGTCCACTCTAGAGACGAGTGGGCCATCTTGAACATGGCTAGGGGCGGTTATTCTTTAAATGCCCATCTTTGACCTTCTCATAGCTCATAGGCTTTCCTTCATTTTGTTTCCTTATTTAGTTATCTTCTTCTACCTGTGGTTGTTGGTGGTTACAGGGGTGTGGGGTGGGGGTGGGGTAGTGGGTGTGCTCCTCCTCCCTTGAATCCCTGTTCTATCATGAGCACACACATGTGTACAGTGTAAGGTTAAGAAGTGCATCCTGAGAGAAGGGCGGGAGGAAGAGCCTACGACTCCATTCCTCAGTATTTACTGGGTCCCTGCTACATGTAGGGTGTGGTGCTGTGGGTTAATGAGCTGGACTGCAAAGTCAGTTTGAACCACAAGGTCAGCAGTTCAAGCTCACCAGCTGCTCCTCGGAAATTCCATACAGGGTCGCTGTGAATCAGAACCGACTTGACAGTACTTAACAACACAACAACAACTATATGTGGGGAGTCCTGGTGTAGTTCTGTGGGTTAATGCACTAGACTGCAAAGTTGGTTTGAACTGCAAGGTCAGTGGTTCAAGCTCACCAGCTGCTCCTCAGGAACTCTATACAGGATCGCTATGAGCTGGAACCAATGACAGCACTTAACAACAACTAACTGTGTACCAGCCATAGTTCAGGGGCCTGGGCACTGAGTGAGAGCAAAGTCACCAAGGCCACTGGCCTTCAACTGATGGGAGATAGGACAAGCAGTGGCCATGGCAGGCAGTCAGGAAAGGCCTCTCGATGACACAACTTGAGATAGAAACATGAAGGGAAGCAGAGATTCCTGGGGGGAGGAGCATCCAGACAGAGGGAGGTCAGGTGCAAAGGCCCTGGGGCAAGTGTGTGTGTGAGTGGTGGAGGCTCAGCCCCAAGGCCAGAGTGGCTGGAGAGAGAGAAGCTGGGTGTGAGGAGGAGGAGGTGAGGTCCAAGGGCAGCAGCTGGCTTCCACTCCAGGAAAGCTCACATGGAACCATTCGTGTTTTAGAAGGATCACCCCAGCCACGGCCTGTTGGAAAAGTTGGGGCTTCTGTGGCACTTGGTTACTGTTGCTGAATTCAAGAGAGAGAGGATGGTGGCTTGGACCAGGGTGGGAGCTGTGGGAGACGTGAGAAGTACTGGATATTGGGCTATAAGCAGAAGAGAGGAAGGTGGAATTTCCATTTTATTACAGAGACCACAATTGTGCATGAGGAGAGCAGCTTTTAGATCACAGACATTCGGACAAGCTATGTTTGAGACGCTGCGTGGACATTAAGCTCAGAGGGAACGTTGCAACTAAAGGGCTGCAGGCAGAAGGGGACTGTCATTGGCTTTAAAGGGTGGTACTATTTGGAGACCAGAGATGATGTAGGCAGAGGAGGTGAGGTGGGGGCACTGGGGAGAGGGAGGGTAGTCTCACAATTGTTTTATTTGAACAGCTTAGAAAAGGTACTAAAACAAAAATCACGGTAGCAATCAAGTTGATTCCAGTTCCTAGTAACCCTATAGGGCCCAGTAGAACTGCCCCATAGGGTATCCTAAGCTACAATCTTTACAGAAGCAGATAGCCAGGTGTTCTATCCGCGGAGCCACTGGTGAATTGGAACCGCTGAACTGTATGTAGCTTAGTGCTTGACCACTGTGCCACCAGGCCCTGAAAAGGTACTCAGGCAGAGGATAAGCCTGGTTCAGAGCAGGGCGTCTGAGCGCCTGGGGCCTGGACCCCCATGTGTTTGTGGTGTCTGTATGGGCCCTGGGGACCCTGTAAGAGCCTGTGGTGAGGAAGGCAGGCTTGGTCCTCACGGAAGAAGGCACGCCTCTGCCGTGGTCTGGACTGTCCCAGAGGTCCCTGAGGTCTCACAGGGACTCCCAGGCCAGTCTCCCTGTCTTCTGAGGGGCTTTGCTTTATCCCACATGATCTCAGAGTGGCTCCAGGCTCCTCCACCAGGGCAGCTGCTGCTCTTCAGGCCAGCCATCTCTCCTCCCCGCCGCCCCACCCCACAGGCCTCTGATTGAGCTCTGCATCCCCTCTTCGCTGGACCCCACCCTGGCTCCCCCTGGCTGCCATGTCCTCTCCCTCTTCACTCAATACACTCCCTATGTGCTGGCTGGAGGCAAGGCCTGGGACAAGCAGGAGACAGACAAGTATGCAGACAAAGGTAAAAAGGGTTAGGCTGTGGGAGCAGGTACTACCCTTCAGTTGTCCACAGTGTAGTCGGGGTGAGATGTATAAAGGAACCAAAATTACACTACAACATACTGTGTGAACCAAAGGAGAAAGACATGAGCCAGGAAAATAAGAATGTTTTCTAAAGGAAGGGACATTTGAACTGGGTTTTCAAAGATGAATAGGAGTTGGCCATACATTAAAGGGCACTCTAAGCAGAAGGGACAACTTGAACAAAGTGATGAGGTGAAAAGGGCTGTGCATATTCAAGGGGAGACAGTAAGTTTGTGTTTAGGGTTTGGGATAAGCAGTTGGAAAGGTATGGAGGGCCAGAATTAAGACCCATCAGTCTTTGTGACAAATATTTGTGTATGGCCAAGTCCTTCAAACACAGTGAGAGGGACTCATAGTCTGTTTTGTCTCATTTTGTCTTGTTTTCTAACTTTTGTTGTTGTTGTTGTGTGCTGTTGAGTTGGTTCCGACTCATAATGACCCGGCATAGGTTTTTCCAAGAGTGACTGGTGTTTTGAACAGCCAGCCTTACTGTGAGTAGTCCAGTGCTTATGCTACAGTGCCACACCAGAATTCCTGAGGTATAATTTATGCACGGTGGCTCCACATGATAAGCACTGGACTATGAACCACAAGGTCCAAGGTTTGAGCCCTCCAGCTTCTCCTCAGGAGAAAGAGGAGGATTTCTGCTCCCACAAAGATTTAAAATGTTTCTGAAACCCTATCTAAGGCCGTTATGAGTCAGAACTGACTTGATGGCACTTAACAACAACAATAACAATTTATATATGATAAAATGAATCCATTTAAAATGTGCAAATCAATGATTTTTAGTACATGCACCCAGTTAAACAACAATATGCTTGCCGTCTGACTTCACTGGGTCTTGGGGACTTACTGTCCTTACATCACTTCCCTTGGCTGCTGTTTGACCCCCAGTGTTTGACTGCATCGAGGCCTACGCCCCTGGCTTCAAGGGCTCTGTGGTGGGCAGAGACATCCTCACACCCCCCGATTTGGAGAGAATCTTTGGGCTTCCTGGAGGGGTGAGTGAAAACCTACTAAGATAAGAGACCAGTTGGGGGTTGGTGATGCATCACAGGCAGGCACTGGCCACATGTGACCACTGGTCACTTACAGTGTGGTCAATCTACAGAGCTGTGCTGCAAAGTGTAAAGTGCACACAGGGCTCCTCCCAAAATGCAGTATGTCCCAAGAGTAACTTTTATATGATGAGTCTTAGCTCTCTTGTGCTGCTTTAAAAGAAATCCCACAAGTGGATGGCTTTAGCAGCCAGAAATTTATTCTCTCTGAGTTTCAGAGGCTACAGGTTGGGTTTGGGGGAAGGATTTCTATGTGTGGGCTCTGAAGGAAGGTCCTTGTCTTTTCAGCTTCCGCTTCCTGGTTCCTTGGAGATCACCACACATCTTGGCATCTATCTCTGTCCCACCTCCTTCTGCCAGTTTATTTAATCTCTTTCATATCTCAATTGACTCAAACTACACCCTACCCCAATCCAGACCATGAACATAACAAAGACAGTCT